ATGTGGCTCATGGTCTACCTAAATTGTTTATATTTTTAATTTTATGTTAATAAACAGGAATGATGCATAAAGGCTTATATTAGGCAATGCTTCTTAATGAGTCTTTAGAGCCTTCTTGCCTGTTGGAGAGGTTTGTCTTCACTTTTGGAGAAAGTGAGCCTAAATCACTCCACTGTCGCCATTGGAAAATTTCTCTTCACCCTCTACTCTCGTACAACTGCAACATTTTGCATTAACCATAACTTTTTGTCCTGGGGCAATGGTAATTCTCCCCAGAGGGGACCAAGACAGCAGTAAAAGCCTGGCTAATCCTTTCCAACTCTATCCAATACTAAAAGAAACATTTTGGCTATAGATTCATTAACATCATAAGATACCTGCTGTTGTACATGTCCTTCAGTTATGGACATTTCTAGTAACTGATGCAAATAAATTCCTGAGATTTCCTGAGAGAGATTCCTGTACTGAAATGCATCCTTAGTCCCTTGCAGCTTTTCTCAGTAGTTGCATCTCTTGGCAGTATGTTGCTACATGCTTTAATCTGGTCATCCTTCCACTATACAGGTATGTAGGCAAACTGGTAAAAAAAAATTATGTTGCCACCAGATCACATTGAGTTTTAATTTCCTGGTTATACTGGTAAAGTATTCTGTAACCATTCTGAAATCAAATTTGTATTTTTTTAACTGACCAATAAAGGACAGGGCTACAGGCAGAAAAAAGCAGCAGGTCTTAACTTAATGTTCTTCATGTTCCTAAGGTAACTAAAGTAATCCAGTTCAAGAACCTTATGTTGCCTGAAAATACTAGTGTTAGATTTCAAGTCAATGGCTGTTTCTACAGCGCACCCTTGAATCCTAGCACCAGGTTGCATATGGGGCCGCGACTTCTTACCAAGTCTAAATTAAGAACTGCCCCCCCCCCCCAAGATCTAAATTTATTTTCTCTTCTTCAGTGAACGTGTCCACATTCCTAACAACTATTTATAAGCGGAGTTCCACCTAGAAAAAAAAATAAAAATCAGCAGCTACAAAAACTTAATGGGGAGCGGGGGACAAAGGCTTAAAGCGGAACTTCCCCCTTTTGGGTGGAGCTCCACTTTAAGTGTAAGCAGGCAGCGCAAAATACAATTAATTGTCTAAAAAACATAAAATTAACATAAGTGCCGCACTAAATCTTCAGTAGAAATCTCTAATAAACGAAGTGTATGCATATATATATATATATATATATATATATATATATATATATATATGAACCAGAAAATAAAAAGTAATAAAAACATTGCACAGAGCAGGTAAGTATGAAATGTTTATTTATTAATAAATTTGCTTTAGAATCACTTTCATCTTCAAGGGGCTTCACAAGAACAGAGGGATTGATCTGAGTACACAACACGTGTCTATATTATTACCATTAGGCCTCATGCACACAGGATGTAAAATCCGCTTTTACAGGCCTTTGGTGTTTTTTATACCTCTAAATGCCCCTCTATATTAGCCTGCGCACATAAGCACATAAACATTTACAGGTGTATTAGAAGAGGAGCCTTTAGAGGCTGAAATAAAAACATCACCTGCGTGTTCAAGAGAGGAGTATTTGAGCATAAAAAACACTTAATACGATTAAATGCCTGTAAACACATGTAAATGCGCCTAAACGCATTTAGCTCTTGAGCGTTCATTCCAGTGGTCAGAATAAATTAACCCCTTGATGCCGACGTCACACAAATATGCAGCCTCAGAGATTTGGGCTTTTGTCCGTGGAGCTGCTTTGTTGATTACCTGTCTTTGTGCTGGGAGCGAGCCGCACAGTGCAAAGACTGGAGTGTCACTGAGAGCCCTGGGTCCCTTCCTAACGATCGGGACCCGGGACTCCCAATTCTGGGTCACATGATCGTTGTGATAGCCTCTGATTGGCTATGACAGTAATCAGTCACTGTGAAGCTTGCCCCCTTAGTTTTTCTCTCTCTCTGCAAGAGAGAAAAAAAAACGTTTGTAAAAAAAAAAAAGATAAATACATTTAAAAAAGAAACCTAGATCAAGGTTTGATCTAATTCAGTGCCAGGGTTAGTGTTTGGGTCAAGGTCAGGGTCAAAGGTCAGGAGTTTTTAAAAAAAATTGGTGTCAGTGTGTTTTAGGTAAAAAAAAAAAAATGTGCACTATTGTTTCTGGCTGTAGTACAGGTACAAACAACAAATAACATACACATAAATGGAATCGCTGCGATTGTCAAGAGCTCAAAAATTTATTTTGGGTTGTTCTTTGGTGGTAGGTTATAGTAGTAACAAGAAGCTAAATTTAAAAAAAAAAAATTTGTTTTTTTTTACTATTTTGGCCCAGTTTTCCTTTGATAAAAAAAAAAGATCAGAAGATATCCATTACCATTTACCACCAAATGAAAACCCAATTTGTCTTGAAAAAAACAAGGTATAATCCACCTGGATGTACAAAGTAGTTGTGATGATATGTACGGTTTTACTAACACATGTCAAAGTTGTAAAATTTTACTTAGGCTTTAAGATTTGTTTTACCTTTAGGTGTGAAGGGGTTAATCTTCTGGCCAGTGGGATGAATGAACGCCTAAACATGCCTAAATATGTTTGCAAAATCTGGCACTTTTCATAAGCTGCTTTCCTGCTGCCAGAAGAACAGGTGTGTTCAGGGAAGACGGGCAAATGGCCAGTGTATGTGAGGCCTTACAATGCTTTAGGCCTGGTCAGATTCAAAGGTATTGAGGTTGGGTTTGTTTGATTGTGATTTTTTTTTTTTTTTTTTCATTTTTCAGTTGCACCCGGCAGTACTTCGGGCACTTAAGGGACGAGCAGCTAGACAGTGTTTGACACAGGAGCTTAATCTCCATGTACAGCAGAATCGAGCAGTGTTGGATCACCAACAGTTTGACTTTGTTGTGCGTCTGATGAACTGCTGTTTACAGGTAAGTAGTTATTTTTAGCATTGCCATGTCTTTTTTAAAGACCGAAGTTTAACTAGGTAAGGTAGAAAGGTATAGTTGTCATCATGGTATGAGAAAAAGACCCATCTACCTATCTTATGTATCCTATTCCTTATGCATTTCTTCCATTTCTTTTTTATTCACAGGATTGCACTCCTCTTGACGAGCATGCTATAGCTGCTGCTCTATTACCTCTTGTTACAGCGTTTTTGCAGGGTGAGTTTAGTAGTATTAACCTGGTGTGTACGTGTGTGCGCTTTACCTTCTCTGAAGAAAGAGTATTGATAAAGTATTCACTAGTGGAGCACCGAAATGAAAATTCTGGTGCCGAAAACGAAAATTCAAAATGCACTTGGCCGAAAACCGAAATGCACAGTTTTTAAAAATGAATATATTTTTTTTGAAAAAAATACACTTTGATTAAAAAAACAAAAAAAAAAACCCCAATTATACCCCAATTTTTTTGTAAAACATGAAAGAGGATGTTATGGAGAGTAAATAGATACCCAACATGTCACGCTTTGAAATTGCGCACGCTCGTGGAATGGTGTTAAACTGCGGTACTTAAAAATCTCCATGGGTGATGCTTTAAAAATTTCTACAGCTTAGCAGTGCAAAGTTACAAAGGAGATCTAGTGCGAGAATTATTGCTCTTGCTCTGACGTTCGTGGCGATACCTCACATGTGTGGTTTGAACACCATTTACATATGTGGGCATGACCTACGTATGCATTCACCACTACGTGCGAGGACGGGGGCACTTTAAACTTTTTTTTTTTTTTTTTTTTTATTTATTTATTTAAATGTTTTGGTTTTTTTGCACTGTCCCTTTAAAAAAAAATGTGAATCACTTTTATTTTTATCACAAGGAATGTATGCATCTCTTGTGATTGATATAATTATTAATAGGTCCTCTTTATGGAGAGATATTGGGTTAATAGGACCCCACATCTCTCCTCTGCAATGTAAAGCGTTTGATTAAAAAAAAGCATTGATCTAGTGCTTTAATTTAAAAAAAAAAAAAAATGGCTGGAATGGGAAGTGACATCGCTCCAGTCCTCCAAGGGCATAGGGATGAGTGGAGGCCATCTTTCCTTCACTAATCTCTGCCTAGCGCCGGGATTGTTCGATGGTTTCTCAGGTAAGGCTGAGAACTACCGAGCGTTGGCCAGGGGTGGGGGGGTTTTCGGCACCTGTATCAGTGCATTTTTTTTTTTTCATATCGGCCATCAGCCGAAAGGGGTGTTTTCGGCTGAAACGCTTCGGCCACCAAAATTTCGGTGCATACCTAGTATTCACATTCAAATGACACAACAATTCCATTCATTTTCACAGGCATTTACATTTTCAGTTTTGTTTACTATATTTTTCTATATTTCCCTCTTGCCTTTCCAGAAATTGAGTCCTGGTATCACACAGTTTGCTTACAGCTGTGTGCAAGAGCACCTTGTCTGGACCAACATGCAGTTCTGGGAATCCATGTTTTATGGGGATGTCCAAAACCACATTCGCACCCTTTACCTAAGTTCCGAAGAGTCTTCATTGAACTCGGTAACTATTCACTGTCCCGGTTTTATAATTATATTGTATAACGTCACCTCCTGTACAGTGACTTACACACGTGTGCCTCATGAAAGAATCTGTAAAAGGAAGAGATAGAATATTCATGATTTAATTAAAGTCAGCATTGCTGCAAGTGATGTAAAGATGTAGGCTTGATTTAATTTAGACCTGAAATGTTTGTATAAGTTGGTATTTAGAGAGCAACCAATTCCTACATCCATTGGGCAAGATGGTAGGCACAGACTTACTTGGATGGGATCTGCTTGTATGTGGGGTCATACAGTGCTAAAAGCTGGATCTGTCAGCGGTAGATCATGCCTTGACAGAATTTGAAAATCTGTATCAAGGTGCAGTAGCAAGTTCCATGAATTGAAATTAAGTGTGAACTGGTTTAGACAGGTCAGTCTGAAATTGTATAAAAACCTCTTTTGTGAGTGCTTCTCATATTCTGTACCGTATTGTTGTTTTGAAAGGATGAAATTGAAGAAGAGGAACGGTCAGCACTGGAGCTAGCAGCAGAGCAGTGTCGGTTGTGGCCAACACTCCCACGTGAAAAACAGCTAGAGCTCATCCAGAAGGAGGAGAGTACAGTATTTAGCCAGGCCATTCATTATGCCAATCGTATGAGCTACCTACTACTACCATTGGATACTTCTAAAAACCGCCTTCTGCGAGGGGGAGCAGGCCTGGGAGATACTGAAAGCGTGAGCAACAGCTTCATTACCAACAGGTTAGACACTTTCATGTGAAACCTACAGGGAATGTTTCTCTTGTACCATAAACATCTGCTAAAAAACTGGTCTTTCTGTTTTTGCAGCATGGCAGGCAGTGTTGCAGAAAGTGCAGACACAGAAAGTGGGTTTGAAGATTCAGAAAGTTCAGATGTGGCACATTGTGTGGTCAGATTCATCACACGGTTTGTGGACAAAGTATGTACAGAGAGTGGTGTCACACCAGATCATCTGAAAGGCCTTCACACCATGATTCCCGGTACGTGGTACATAGTCTGAACAGCAGTAGTCGTGTTAAATGAAGCTGACTTTTCTGAATTCTTCACTGTCAATGCATCAGGTTTATTGGAATGATAAATAAATAATGCAGCGCTAGAAGTTCATAAAGTGACAAATACATAAATCGTGAAGCGAAAAGTGGCGCTAAAGTGATCGCAACATAAATGAAGTGTACCGTCATATATTGACGTAAAAATTGTGACTTTTATAGCAATAGTGACACTGGTGTATAATTACTAACAGTATTGACAATGAAAATAAATAAGGAAATGCACAAAACGGTCCAATATGTTCCGTGAAATCTGTGCACGTGACTTCCGTGATAAGGATCTGTAGTGTGATTGCACTCACCAGAAGCACAATATTATTGCACATGTATATAATTTATCCTCGGTGGTCATCTGGGTTCAGGTAAGGAATAGGAATCATCTGGCACACTGACAGCATACAAGGAATAACTCCAGACCTCACTCACAGAACCCTCTCAGTACATAGGAAGAGCTCCATAATACTTCTCCACCACATGACAAAATAGCCAAAAAGAGGATGTTCTCCACCTTAAATGGCCGAGAATGCCCGTTCTTTTAGCACAGCGTCCGTTGTAGCATCTCAAAATCCCCCTTTATTGGAATACATATGGCAGGTCAATCTCTGCCCTATTCAGATAGGACACTAATAAAATGCGATAATCTGCTGTTTCTTCAGTGCTGTATACTGGCTTGTGTTGGCTTCCACTGTGTAATTCTAAATTATGTCCTATTGCTAACTGATCCGTTGCAGTCCGTACGCATTTCAGTTATCTTGTGTATTTGGCTTGCTTTTGGGTAAAGGAATGTTTAATGTTCTAGGTTTATTGTGAGCAGAAGATCACTGAGCTGTAAGAGACTCAGTCCCGTGCAATTTGTTTCTAAAGAAGCCATGTTGGCACAGGATATTTGTACCAGGGTCTCAAAGTGGGGATGCCATGATACATACACATACTGTATTCCCCTAATCCCACATAGCCTTGTTTTCTTAGTCTTTAATGGAGCAAAACTGTGCCCACTCTTCTGTTGGGTGCACCAAGGTTTGCAGAAAGGTTTAAAGCGGAACTAATCCCTCCCATCTTTTATGGCCAAGAAAGAAGCCATCTTGGCCTCTGTTTGATCTGCAGTTGCCTTGGTGCTTTGCGTGCGATCAGCCATGACACCAGCTATTTGATGGCTTGACAGTTTGGTTGAGTGTTAACATAACACTAGTAACTGTAACAATTACCTTTCAAGGCATGGCTTGAATATAACTGTGCTTGGAAACTGTTAAATCAGTGGGTTAATTCAATTCCACTTTAATACTTATTACTTACAGATTTGTATTCAAGAATCCCGGCTTGCAAATCTCTTTTGAGACCTTGACTGACGTTACTATTTGTGCAACGGTTGGGCCATCAGCTACAGGGATTGTGTAGGGTAACTAATTAAAAAGTTGTAGTTTTGTAAGGCCTCCTTCACACACCCAGTATGTTGCAGCTGCTGGATTTCCGCGGTAAGAATCTGCAGATTCTTGCTGCTGGACTGATCAGGTTATGCTATCAGCAGCGCCCGCTCAGCCCATTTACGCTAATGGCAGGCTGCCAGCGGCTGCTGCTGCTTATCACATGTAGCCTCACACAGAGCGATTAGCTGCGGCTTGGGACAGCTGACTGCATTCAGGCTCAGACATGTGTCCCAAACTGCAGCTGATCGCTCTGTGTGTGGCTAGATGCGATCAGCAGCATCCACTCTCAGCCTGCCATTAGTTTAAAAGGGCTGAGTAGCTGCTGCTGCTGATCGCATAACCTAGTCAGTCCAGCAGCATGTATCCGAATCCGCAGGTTTTTGCTGCAGGAATCTGGCGGCCACAACAAACCGGCCCTGTGAAGGAGGCCTAATACTTTTGTCTACTACAGCCTTGCAAAGCCAGTTACTACCTTGTACAGTGCAATCTGCTGAGATAGTGGGGTTGTATAAATGCATGTGGTGATGATAAATGTTTTGCAGTTCCATCAAGTGTTCTGTTTTAGTATCACTCCTACAAACATGGTTGGTAAAGATTGATCTGTAATGTATACTTAGCTTATCCTTCTGTAACCCTGTCGTAGATATTGTTCAGATGCACATAGAGACTTTGGATGCAGTACACAGAGAGAGTAAGAGGCTTCCACCTATTCAGAAGGTGAGTGTCATCATTTTTCCCATCAATTTTCCCAGCAATGCCCCTCTCTTATGTCTGGGATGTAGAACTTTGTGTTGCAAAGAAGATACATATTGTATTTTGAGGCTTTCTTTACTTGTATATTCTGTTGCTACATTGTTTGAAAAAGATCATTTGCATTCTTTCTCTTTGAGCTTCCTTTTTTGTTCTTCAGTGTATGTCTTTTAAATATTCAAAGTACAAACAATGCAGCATACAAGATTCGTGCAGATAGTCAATAGAGGAGACATGGGCATAGGCCAACCTAACAATGTGGCTAGTTCATAGCAACATAATATCGGAAAACAAACATTCCAATGAAAATATTGGCAGCCATTCAGGATCATATTTGAGCAAGTAAGCCTCATCACTTTGGTGTAGAAAAAAAACCCCACACACTTAACCCGTGTAAAAGTCTGATATCACGGTGTTCACTATGAAGCAGGAGAAAGACGGAGTGAAGGGGGTAAGGTGGAGGGAAGACACGAGAAGAAGATGCATAAAGGAGAAGGGGAGGGGAAACTGTAATAACCAGAGCATGACACAGTATCAGGCAGCAGACAGGGGCTACAGGGAAACAATCCCCATCACTTCTACATCATAGATTGGCCGAACCCCAAGGGCCAATCCAGGCAGACCAAATCTTATCAAACTTTTTCGGACTATTTCTACTCGCATAGGTTAATTTATATATCATCAAAGCATTATCAGTAGCTCCAGGACGATACAGTAAGAATGTGAGGTAACTTCCATTTGAGGAGAATTTGTCATAATAAACAGCATAGAAGATAAACAATTTAACATAACTACCCAATTCTGCAATACAGGTGTACCTCGGTTTATGAATTTAATGCATTCTCCTGGACGTTTTGTATTGCAAAAAAATTGTAAACCGAAACGCGCTTTTCCATTAGAATGCATCGAAAACCAATTAATCCGTTCCGGAGGTCAGAAAAAAGTAAAAAAAAAAAGTCACTGTCACTATAAGTTAGTGTCGGTTTTTAAATGTTATTACCGGCTTGTTTTTTTTTTCTTCAGTATTGCTCAAGAATCGGCTGTCTCTTTCCCCCCCAGCTACAAGAAAGAAAGTTTCCTTTTAGTTCATGGGTGTCAAACTGGCGGCCCTCCAGCTGTTGCCAAACTACAAGTCCCATGAGGCATTGCAAGATTGACAGTTACAAGCATGACTCTGAAAGGCAGAGGCATGATGGGATTTGTAGTTTGGCAACAGCTGGAGGGCCGCCAGTTAGACACCCATGTTTTAGTTTATTTGAGTTAATGAATTCAAGATGGCGACCGGAACAGTCGCACGGACCTGAGCTCCGGTCGCCTACATTGCCACCCATCTCCACAGGCACCGGCACCAGCCACCGCCGACAGGGATCCCCCAGACCCTCCGCGCTCCTGGAGGAGGGAGCGGTGCCGCCGGAGCCCCCACCTGCTACAGCCCAGAGCTCAGCCTCCCGCGCGGCCTAAAACACTGCACTCCGCCGGGCCAGCGGGTGGACGCCAACCACCGGGATCCCCCCCGACCCTCCGCGCTCCTGGAGGGGGGAGCGGTGCCGCCGTAGCCCCACTGTGCAGCTCGGAGCTCTGTCACCACAGCGCCCAGCCAGGTGGGACGGGGCCTCCCGTGCGGCCTAGGACACCATAAGCCGCCGGGCCCTGGGCACCGATGGCATAGCACATACCACCACCGCCCACACAGCAGAAGGGAGGAGGCCACCATTAGGCCCCATAAGCCTCCCTGGGCCTCCAACAGCCCGCCGCAGCACCAGACCCATCAGGGCCCCGCCGGCCTACAATGCTCAAACACGCGGCCTACAGCGCACAATCTGGCCGCCCACCGGTCTCCTGCCACCCCAATCGACAGAGGAACCAGAAGTGAGCATACTTCCACGCCGCCGAACCCAGCAGACAACCCCAGCCTGGTGAGGCCTACCATCGCCCTCTACGTCGCAACCCTGCCCGGACCTGCTGAGCCCAACGGATGATCTCGACCTGGTGAGGCCCACCATCGCCTACCCCAGCACTGACCCGCAGCCCATCTGACGTTCACCCCGCATCTCCTCAAGCCCAACTTGACGAGGCCTACCATCACCTACCCCGGCGCAACCCTGCGCTGACCCGAAGCCCATCCTATGACAACTGGCTGAACTGAATTCTACCCATCCTGATCCTAACCACAAGAACTCTTGTCACAGAAAGGTACAACTACGAGATACGTCACCGCACGCCGACCATCTACAACCAAGCGCCCCCCGAGAGACTTTCCACCCCACTTGTCTGCCACTTCGTTTACCTCCCTAAAATGCCACCTGTACTCCTCAAACTCTTCTCCTTCGTCCCCAAAATCTCTTCTCTCTATCCCCCCGCTCCTCCCAAACAACTGTACATCGCCCCGTCACTGTTTCCATCTCCTCTCTATGGCTCTCACCACCTCCTCCCTGTTACTCCACTCTCCCACTGACCTGAACGCCACCAATGGCAGAACCACACGCTTTTGTACATCCCGCTCCCATGCCACTTTTCTTACCCATCTTCTCCTCCTAACCGCGGGGGACATCTCCCCGAACCCTGGTTCTCCTCCACCTCACTCACCCACAAGGCACCCACCTACTTCCACGAACTGCCGCAACCCCCTCAACCTAATACCGGTCCCCCTGCTCCCTAAAACCACCCCTCCGTTTTCGTGTGCACTCCTGAACGTCCGTTCGATTTGCAACAAACATCCACAACCTCTTTGTCTCCCGTTCCCTCAACCTCCTGGCGATCACCAAAACCTGGATCCAAACCACCGACTCTGCCTCCCCTGCAGCACTCTCCTATGGAGGTCTCACCTGGACCCACTCACCCAGACCCAGCGGTCGGAAAGGTGGTAGGGTTGGTATGCTCCTGTCACCGCAGAGCACCTTCCAAGTCCTCCCAAACCCTCCCTCTGTATCCTCCTTCTCCTCCTTTTGAGGCCCACTGTATCCGACTATTCTCTTCAATCCCCCTGAGGATCACAGTAATCTATCGGCCCCCTGGACCCGTATCCCGCTTCCTTGATGACTTCTCCACCTGGTTACCCTTCTTTCTCTCCTCCGAGCTGCCCACCCTCATCCTTGGAGACTTCAACATTCCTACCAACATCAATAGCCTGGCCACATCCCAACTCCTCCACCTAACCTCTTCCTTTGCACTCGCACAGTGCATACGATGCTCCACCCACTCCGACGGGAATACCCTGGATTTTGTTTTCTCTCATCTCTGCACCCCCCACAACCTCACAAACACCCCTTTTCCTCTCTCTGACCACAACCTCATTACCTTCTCCGTCTCCTCGTCCTCCTACACCTACCCCTCCAAACATCAAACCATCACCAACCGAAACCTCCGCAACCTGAACACGCCCCCTTCCTCTCTGCAGCTGACCAACTTTACAATAGTATCCTTCCCCTGTCCTGCCCTGACCTGGCAACTACTGTTTATAACAACTCGCTGTCAGCCGCTCTTGACTCCTTAGCACCCCTAACCACATGAAACATTAGACCCCGACCACTTCAACCTTGGCAGAATGACCACACCAAAAATCTTAAACGACGCAGTCGCGCGCTAGAGCAACTATAGCGCAAAACCAGATCCCAACAAGCATTCACCTGATATAAATCCGCCTTCCTCACCTACACTTCCTCCATCCACGCTGCCAAGCAAGCCTACTTTGTATCCCTCATCAATACCCTCGCCAGCTCTTCTCCATCTTCAACTCTCTGCTCTCTCCGCCCCCACCTCTACCCAGTACCTTACTCACCGCCCACGAGATTGCTAACCACTTCCAAAGCAAGATCGACGCAATTCTCAGGGACATCACTGCTCAGACATCCGCCCCACCTAGCCTCCCTCACATGAAAACCCCCTCAACACTCCTCTCCTTCAACCTCGCCACTGTCCAGACCTCTACCCTGCCCAACATTCCCCACACTCAAACCCCCTCAACACTCCACTCCTTCGACCCTGCTACCACCGAAGAGGTCACTACGGTCTTCTCTGAAGCTCGCCTTACCACCTGCCCCTTTGACCCTGTCCCCACACAACTTCTGCGATCACCCTCCTCCATCCTACGCTCCCTCACTCACTCAAATCTTCAATCTCTCCCTCTCTACTGGCACATTCCCCTCTCCTCTGAAGCACGCGCACATCACTCTCATACTTAAAAAACCCTCCCTGGATCCCACCGACCTAAACAACCTTAGACCCATCTCCCTGCTGCCATTCTCATCCAAACTCCTTGAACGCTTAGCCTATAATCGCCTAAGCACCCACCTCACCGACGACAACCTCCTTGATCCCCTACAATCTGGCTTCCATGCCCATCTCCAGGACTTCTCCAGGGCTTCCCCATCCTCTGGAACTCACTACCCCAATCTATCAGACTGTCACCTACCCTGCTCACCTTTAGGCGCACCATGAAAACCCATCTCTTCAGAGAAGCCTACCCAGCCCTCACCTAATTGCAGATCTCCTCCGCTCTTCCCACCACTCCATCCCCCACAGCAATTTCCTCCTGTACCACTCTCCCCTCCCTCCCAGATTGTAAGCGCCAAGGAGCAGGGCCCTCGAACCCCTCGTGTATTGTATTGTTACTGTACTGTCTTGTGTACTGTCTCCCATTATAATGTACAGCGCTGAGCAAACTATTGGCGCTATATAAATACTGTATAATAATAATAATAATTTCCCCCGAGTTAAAAGAAATAATGTTTCCTTTTAGTTTGTTTCCCGAGATAAAAGAAACAAAGTATCCTTTAGCTCCGGGGAAAGTGACAGCTAATTTTGTGAGCTATAGTGAAAAAAAAAAGAGCCGGCAGTTGCATTTAAAAACCAACACTGACATACACTTCGTATTGCAAAAAAAAATTGTAAACCGAGGTATTTTTTCAATGGATTTTCATTCGTAAACTGAAAATTACGTTAACCAAGGCATTCACAAACCGAAGTACACCTGTATCTATGAAACCCAGGAGTAGTGTATATCTTTAATTCACATTTGTTTCCTTCTTTATCTCTTACAGCCCAAACTCTTGCGGCCCACATTGCTAGTTGGTGAGGATTTGCTAATGGAAGGCCTCAGAGTTTACTTACTGCCAGATGGCAGAGAGGAGGCATCGGGTGGCAGTCTTGGAGGACCCCCACTGCTTCCTTCCGAAGGGGCCCTCTTCCTCACTACTTACCGCTGCATCTTCAAGGGTACTCCAGTTGATCCTTTAGGTAACTTGAAAATTATTGGAATACTTTGGAAGCCTATTTTACAAATGAAAATAGATCTAGTAATTGGCTGTCATTTTTTTATTATGGTACATTATACATAAGACATGTTAAACTACAGTGAAAGTACCATTTCCACTCATAAAATGTATGCTTGCATATATGTTAAAGACACATGTGAGCCGCGTTTTCATTGCAGAAAATACAGAATCTGCTTAAACACTTTTATGTTGAGATATAATAAGAAGTGTCTTTTTTTGTCAGTGTCAGAACAGACGGTAGTGCGGTCCTTTCCTATTGCTTCTCTGACTAAGGAAAAGAAAATCAGTGTTCCAGCTCATCTGGACCAGTATGTGCAAGAAGGACTTCAGCTACGCTCGTGTACTTTTCAGGTGAGTCTGCAATATTACTAAAATACCTTTTTGATCATTCTGCAGATAGAAAGCTATAGAGTGATGTAATTCAACAGCTCTCTGACAGGTTTTTCACATTAACTGGCTCCTTACTGGGCAAGTACTAGAGCCAAAACAGCACTGCTTGTGCTTTATCATCTTCATTATTTATTTTGAATATCCGTTGTACTTTTAGATTTTTGCTGTCCTATATGAGCTTGACATATTGGCACAATTTTGTAAATGTCAATAAAGACCATCACCTTATATTCAGTGCCTTAATACATTCACAGTTCAGTTGTACTGCAATGTCATCTGCTGCAATGGCGGAAAGTAATCTTTTAAGATTTATTCTAAGTTTTAGACATCTCATTTTTCTTTTTCTTTTGGCTCCAGCTCTTGCGAGTGGCATTTGATGAGGAGGTTCCATCTGAAGTGTCTGAGGGTTTCCGCAAGCAACTTCACAAGCTTAGGTATCCTCAAGATGTCCTTGGGACCTTTCCATTGAGTGTTGGTCTCTCCCTCCCGCATGCCTCTCAACCCAGGACCAAGGACAAAAACCCCTCCATCAAGTAAGTAAAGGTTCTTCTCCAGTCAATTGAGTTAAAGCACAAATGGCAGCTGTGCAGAAGTGATATGAATCGATTTCAGCTTCTAATGAATGCTCATATAAAGATAAAAGGCTTTGTTTTATTGCATGGCAGCCCTATAGGCTTCCTGTCATTATGCTTTTTTTTCCCCCCTAGTGCCTCTGCATGCCCTTCTCTCTTTATTGTCCATGTACTTCTCTCTTTCAACTTTGTAGTTAAGGCTACATTTTATACCTACTCTGTAATCTCCTGCTGTGTCCTGATCCTTGTAGTACCTTAGGCTGTTTTGTAAAGTGACCCCTGTGTTTCTCTGTAGCCCTCTTCATGTCAGTGACGTGTTCCAGGGCCGCCTGGCTGTGGGTTTATCTTTTGGCTTCTTCCATTCAGAAACGTAAGACCCCCACGTTTACACCCAGCCTGGTCATGGTCTTATGGTGCCAACCATGCTTCCTGGTGTGCAGCTTTTTTTTTAACTGTCTAATTTCTGTACGGGCAATGGAGGAAATGGTTTACCAGTAAAATGCCTATTGGAGAAAGAAATGTAACGACAAAGCTTTGTCCTTTTGTTGCATAGCTTTGGGTGAAAATTGCCAACAATACTGTTTCAGGGCTTCATTATTCTTACATTATTATTGTTATAATGTGTAATGAATATATGCTGTAAAACTGTATAAAGAAACACTATATGTGGCCTTCAACACCCTGTAATTTCTAGTCAGTTTATGTTTAGGACTCCTTGCTGTCTGATGACAAGTTGGTTTTCAGACTGTATCTAGTTTTGATGGGCCAAAAGAGCATGGGTTACAAAGAAACAGTCTGGGGTTTGGGTGTTCAGAATTGGGGAGAAAAATGGCAACACATGATATAAAAGTATAATAGGGATAAAGTGCAGAAGAGGAAACTGAAGTATTACTGCTTTACTAAATCATCTATCATTAAGACGGCTTTGGTTCTTACATAAGTTCTAAATGGCTCATTCACTCATGCCATTGATCCAGTAATGAGACCATTGTGACAAATGCTCCATTATCACATGGTGGGCTTAATGTGAAGGTCTTCTAAAATATTCTAAAGTGCCATACCTATGTATATTGTGAAAACATTCTTGATTATCATGTATTTACACAGTATTCAATTTTATATATTGAATAGCGTGGAACTTATATTTACCAAATAATTTTACATTTTCAGCATTTACAATTAGTTGAAGACCAGATTTTGTCGGCTTCAAAGCCATTGCATTGACATTGTAGTGTAATAACGCATTGATACACTATACATTAATTGATATATACTATTCATATGATCATGGTGTATCAAGTGAAGAATTATAGCACCTACACCTCTGGTGTCATGAAGTGACCAACCTCAACCATTTTATTATGTGCTTTATAAAGTACCATATCCATTTCTATATCATTTGATGCTTTTTTTCTTTTTACCCTTAGATCTTTTAGCAAATACCCTTTAGGTGTAATGCTTACTTAGCCATATCTGATTGCACCTGGCTTAATCACCCATTGCTAATGTAAAATGTCTAGTGCTAAGAGAAGTTTTTCTGATGATACAGTGGAAATTGGGTGTGGTTGCCGCTACAACATTGCGTGCAAGCAATGCGTTTGGATAAAACCAGTATGCATTGTGCATAAACGTATCTAAACTGAATGTTGCTTGCATTAAATTAGATGTGGTATACTGAATGATGATTATGAAAACTGGCGTTGGGAATCTTTGTTGCTGCATCTCCAAGCAATTTAAAGTGTTACTAAACCCAGGACCCTGCATTCACTTTATCCAGTCTTCCACAGTACACAGAACATGGAAATGCAATTATTTTAGTAAATATAAACTGCTAAATACCTTTTCTCATCAGCAGTATTTAGCAGTCTTGTGAATTCTATCAGTGTCCGGCCAAGCACTGGTTAATCTTGTTGGGAGGAGTTTTCATTCTCCTCTGACTGTTCTATCTATGAGGCTGCATGAACCGTGATCCTCTGTCCAGACAGCGCTGATTGGCCCTGTGCCGATCACATGCACCGTCCCCAAAAAAAAAAAATAAAAAACTCTATAGCAATACACACCAAACAGAGCATGTGCAGACTTGCCACTACTGCTCTTTACTTTGACAGATGGATTGGGGACAATAAAAAAAGGAGAGAATCAGAGAAGACAGGATCAAACAGCTTTTATACACAATGTGGAGTATTACACCTTAGGTTCAACAGGGAGTATAACAAGCATGCTTTACTGCATTTACAGACTGATTTTACTTTTGTGAATTTAGTAACACTTTAAGTATTCTAATAACTTTTTCTTATCTGACCAGTTTGATTAACTGGTACAGTGCATATTGGCTGTGTATTAAAAGGAAACTATATTTTTCAATAGTTCATTTCAGATTGGTGTGGTTACATTAGGTGACGTTTGACAATCTGCTCCCAGACTCCTGCATGCAGCAGCTCCGGTGCTCTCTGCATACAGTGCAGTGATAGATTTTCTGTTTAATACTCATCACAATACTCGCAATGGTGAGTTCTGATCTGCGTTTCCACCATTCAGATGTGAAATTCTAGAAGTGAGCACTAGCAGTGTCATTAATTACTCCTGATTTTTTACTATCCCTATGGCCGGGGAACTGTTTGCTCCTTTTTATAGGCAACACCATTAACAGTCTATTCAAATACAAACCTCTGGTTTGTTCTAATATCTGTAGGATATTATTAGATGAAGTGGGCACCAGCATTTTTTGTGCACTGTTCATAAATCAGTTTTCATAAATATCAGCTAGTATTCCACAATAAGCGGTACAGCTGACCTCCGCTTTGCTAGTTGTGGTTTCTTCTTCCATACAAATCCTGCATTCATTTGGCTTCTCCTGCTGGTGTGGAAACTGTAGGGTGTAATGGTGGACTGTTATTCTGCAGGGTATAATGGTGGACTGTTATTCTGCAGGGTGTAATGGTGGACTGTTATTCTGCAGGTTATTAATAAGCACTCTTCTTTCTCTTGTTGTAATGCACATTCTGCTTACAGATACCGAGCAGTAATCCTTATGTCTGTGCAGTCATACTTCTTGTATATCCTCCATTTATAATAGTTTTCCCTTTTGTGGAATTTACTCTTTGTTTCCTCAAGGACCATATCTAAGAACCTTGTGAAGAATGCTAAAAAGACAATTGGCAGGCAGTATGTGACACGCAGGAAATACAGTCCCCCATCCTGGGATCTCCGTAGTAGTCAGAACTCTTTGGAACAACAGAGTGATGACATTTCTGGTAAGTGTTCAGGTGTAAATGCTGATTAATAATGGAATAAATACCAAGCAGCCATCAAGAGATTCTAAACTGTGAGCTCCTGCATTGATGTCTAATGTGGTGGAAAAGGGGACCTGTTTCCAACATTCGGTTTTCTGAGTTTAAGACTGACCATAGATGAGTAATTGTTTTGTTCGACCAGTGGGTTGAAAAAAATCCTCCCCGTTGAGCTATTGTATTTTGATGGCGGAAAGACTTCCCTGCCATCAGAATACACTGATCAGCAATGCTGGTGATGCTGATAAAGCGACAAAATTCCCACAGGATGGTTGTACAGAATTTGATTGGTAGGTCGACTTCTGTACAACCACCCTGCCCATACATGGATTGAAATTCAGCCAGTCCCTGCTAAACTGGCCAAATTTTAATCAATGGATGGCCGGCTTAAGACAAGTAGGAGACTGTGGGGTATAATTCCAGCAATTTGTTTTCACTGTAGTTTAATAGGTGGTGAACGCCTAGCTATGACCAGAATCCTATTTCATTTTCTGGATATGAATTAGATTGTTACCTTGCTTGTGGGTTTCTGTGTATCTCTTCAGTAGAAGAGTTCAATGGAGAGATGTCTGTGCTCCAATCCAAATATCTTACATACAGTTAGATCCATATATATTTGGACACAGGCACAATTTTAGTTTTTTTCAGGTATTTACCAAAACATATTCACGCTATAGTTATATAATGGATATGGGCTGAAAGTGCACACTCTCAGGTTTAATTTGAGGGTATGTACATCCAAATTGGAGGAAGGGTTTAGGAATTACATCTCGTAAGAGTAGCCATCCCCCCCTTTTTCAAGGGACCAAAAGTAATTGGACAATTGAATCAAAAGCTGTTTCATGGCCAGGTGTGGACTACTCCTTCGTTATTTCTTCATCAATTAAGCAGGTAAAAGGTCTGGAGTTGATTCTAAGTGTGGTATTTGTATTTTGGAATCAGTTGCTGTGAACCTACATCATGCATTCAAAGGAGCTGTCCATACAAGTGAAACAGGCCATTGTAAGGCTTCAAAAATTAAACAAATCTATCAGGGAGATAGCAGCAACATTAGGAGTGGCCAAATCAACAGTTTGGTACATTCTGAGGAAAGAAGAACGCACTGGTGAGCTCAGCAACATAAAAAGGCATAGACGTCCATGTAAGACAACAGTGGTGGATGATCTCAGGATCCTTTCTATGGTAAAGAAAACCCATTCACAAGATCCAGATAAGTGAAAGACACTCTCCAGGAGGCGGGCGTATCATTGTCAAAGTCTACAATCAAGGGAAGACTTCACGAGAGCAAATACAGAGGGTTCACCGCAAGATGCAAACCATTAATAAGTCTTAAGAATAGAAAAGCCAGATTAGACTTTGCCAAAAAAAATCTAAAAAAAAGCCAGACCAGTTCTGGAAAAACATTCTTTGGACGGATGAAACGAAGATTAATCTGTACCAGAATGATGGGAAGATAAAAGTTTGTAGAAGGCTTGAAAAAGCTCATGATCCAAAGCACACAACGTCATCTGTAAAACATGGTGGAGGCAGTGTGATGGCATGGGCATGCATGGATTTCAGTGACACTGGGTCATTGGTGTTTATTGATGATGTGACAGAAGACAGAAGCAGCTGGATGAATTCTGCAGTGTTTAGAGAGATACTGTCAGCCCAGATTCAGCCAAATGCAGCAAAGTTGATTGGACAGCGCTTCACAGTACAGATGGACAATGAACCAAAACACACTACAAAAGCAACCCAGGAGCTTTTGAAGGAAACGAAGTAGAATATTCTGCAATGGCCGAGTCAGTCACCTGATCTCAACCCAATTGAGCATGCATTTCACTTGCTGAAGGCAAAACTAAAGGCTGAATGACCCACAAACAAAGAACACAGCTGCAGTTAGAGCCTGGAAAAGCATCAAAAGGGAGGAAACCCAGTCTTTGGTAATGTCCATGGGTTTCAGACTTCAGGCAGGCAGTGCCAGTAAAGGATTCTCAACAAAATATTAAAAATTAACATTTTATTTGTGATTATATTCATTTGTCCAATTACATTTAAGCCCCTGAAAATGGAGGGACTGTGTATAAAAAATGGTTGCAGTTCCTAAAATTTGTACTTGATATTTATGTTCAACCCCATGAATTAAATCTGAAAGTCTATTCTTCAAATTCATTTGGATTGTTTCGTTTAAATTTATTCTGGTGGCATACAGAGCCAAAAGTGTGAAAATTGTGCCCGTGTCCAAATATACATGGACCTAACTGTATGTATGACACATAAGGTGTTAAGGGGTGTGTCCACATGTTAACAATAAAATTCTAAATGAACCTAATTCATAGTTTTCACTGTGTACCTCTTTTCATAGATTGAAATAGGCGCTTTTGTATGCAAATCCATCTACAGTAAGCTATAGAGGAAATGAATACTACAATTGTCACGTGAATTTATGGAAGATCTCACAAATGCTTTATGAAGAGGATATATTGTCTTATTTCTTATTGCAGTGTCTGAAGACATGGAAAGAAGTACACTGACCATTTCCACCCTAAAGGCTCCTGACAAACAGGCAGGGGGTAATCTGGCAGAGAGAGCGTGCTGCCGTGACTATCAGAGAATGGGGCTTGGTACACTGAGTAACAGCTTGACTCGTGCTAAAAACGAACCATTTCGAATCTCTACTGTAAACCGCATGTACGCAGTTTGTAACAGGTAAGCTATATTTTATGACATTGTTTGTTCTGTGCATTTTTATTTCAGTTATGCACTAGAATATTTAGTAGAATTATTATTCTTATTATTGTATTTATATAGCGCCAGAAGGTTTGCTCAGCGCTGTACATTATAGTGGGGGACAGAACATGAGACAATACAGTAACAAAACAATACACGAAGGGTTCGAGGGCGCTGCTCTTTCGAGCTTACAATCTAGGGGGAGGAGATAGTGGTACAGGAGGAAGTGGCTGTGGGGGATGAAGTGGTAGGAGGAGTGGAGGAGATCGGCTGTTAAGTGAGGGTGGGGTAGGCTTCCCTGAAGAGATGGGTTTTCAGGGTGCGCCTAAAGGTGAGGAGGGTAGGTGACAGTCTGATGGATTGGGGTAGTGAGTTCCAGAGGATGGGGGAAGTCCTGGAGAAGTCCTGCAGTCGGGCGTGGGAGGTGGAGACCAGGGAGCTAGAAAGTAGGAGGTCTTGTGAGGAGCGAAGAGTACGGGTTGGGTGGTATTTGGGTATCAGGTCGGTGAGGTAGTTTGGGGCAGCGTTATGGATGGCTTTGTATGTTAGTGTTAGTATTTTGAATCTAATGCGTTGGGCAATCGGAAGCCAGTGGAGGGAATGACAGGGGGGGGGGGTGGCAGAAGCGGAGCGGTTGGTAAGGTGGATGAGTCTGGCCGCTGAGTTCAGGATTGACTGAAGCGGGATAGCCTGTGTTGGGGTAGGCCGGTGAGAAGGGAGTTGCAGTAGTCCAGACGTGAGATAATGAGGAAGTAAACGAGTTGTTTAGTAGTGTCTGGGGTTAGGAACGTACGTATTTTGGAGATGTTGCGGAGGTGGATCCTGCATGAGTTTGCCAACGATTGGACATGGGGTTGGAAGGACAGGTTTGAGTCTAGAGTGACACCTAGGACTTTGGCTTGCCAGGTGGGACTGATGTTGGCGTTGTTGGTCGTGATGGAGAGGATGGGGGGGGGCGCGGGCTGGGGGGAAAATTAGCTCAGTTTTGGAAAGGTTCAATTTGAGGAAATGGAGCGACATCCAGTCTGATATGTCGTTCATGTGGGTAAGGGAGATGCGGGCGGAAACTGAAGGGGTGAGGGGTGTGTGAGGTAAATTTGCGTGTCATCGGCGTAGAGGTGATAGTTGAAGCCATGGGAGTGTATCAGTTTGCCGAGGGAGGAGGTGTGGATGGAGAAGAGAAGGGGCCCGAGGACAGAGCCTTGGGACCCCAACAGAGAGGGGGAGGTGGTGGTAGTGTTATAGGTAACGCTGAAGGAGCATTGGGATAGATAGGAGGAGAGCCAGGAGAGAATGGAGTCTCTGATGCCAAGGGAGTGTAGTTTATTGAGGAGGAGGGGGTGGTAAACTGTCGAAGGCCACGGAAAGGTCAAGGAGTAGGAGGACTGAGTAGTGGCCATTAGCTTTGGCGGTTAGCAGGTCATTAGTGATTTTGAGTAGGGCGGTTTTGGTGGAGTGTAGGGGTCGGAAGCCAGACTGTAGGGGATCGAGGAGGTTGTTGTTGTCAGTGAGGTGGGAGCTTAGAATATCTTTTTGTTTATTTTTTAATTGGTTTTCTTGTGTTTTTTTTTTTCTGCCTTTATTACTCAGCTACCCAGGGTTGCTTATAGTGCCACAGAGTATCCAGGACAACACTCTACAGAAGATATCCCGCTGCTACAGGCAAAATAGATTTCCAGTAGTATGTTGGCGCAGTCCTCGGACCAAAGCCGTTCTGCTACGCTCAGGGGGGCTTCATGGCAAAGGCGTAGTTGGACTCTTTAAATCTACCAATACCACTGCCACTGGTGAGTGCTCATCTCTTATTGATATGGGTATTAGGAATGAGCTGAACACACTTAGATTTGGTTCGCATTTGGTTGGGCTGAACATATCAGAAGTTCAGATGCCAAATCTGAATCCCACTGAAGTCAAAGGGAGCCAAACTGTCGAATCCATTCTCTATTTTTAAGGCTCATAGCCTTTGGTCTGGCGAAAAATTGCATGAGTGCTGGTCACTGACCCAGGGAACATGAACCAATGCAAAAGAAATTAATAATTTTGCATGAAACTGTTTTTTTTTTATACTGCTGAAAGGGAAACATTAAAAATGCACTATTCTTTAAAGAAAAAAACTTCCATGGGGTCCCCTAAACCTGCTTGGTGCATCTCTACCTTGTCAGCAGTGGTAGAACAAAAGTGACATTTACAAGGAAAAACAAAAACATTTTAAATGCTTTAAATTCCCATTTCTCTGCAAGCTTCCATTTTTTTGTAAATTAATGCAGTGGGGACCTCCCATTCCCAAAAAATGCATAACAAACCCTCAAGGAGGATGGGGGTCTGGTATGTATTTTGCAGGAGAAAGTGAATTAATTTCCTTTATGTCACTTTTGCTGTGCAAGTTAAAAAAAAAAAAAAACAAAAAAAAAACCCCAAAGCCAACACCAGACCCTCTTTTGGATCCAGTATGGAATTTGGGGAAGGGCTCCCACAAAAAATAAATGAGATGGGCCCTCTCTGCCCGCCAAAATCAAAGCTAAATGGCCATATTTTGTCAGTGATATCATCAGCACCATTTTGATTGTGGCTGGGAATTTCCAACCATGTAAGCTAATAGGGCTTGTAATGTCACTGTTTTTTAAAGGACTTGGTGATACCTACACCCACGGGCATTCTTAATTGCTTAGCGACCACCCCACTTACATATAGGGCCTCTGCGCTGGACAACGTACCTAGTATGCGATCTGCTCCTCGGGTTTGGGGGCATGCGTTCCCGCCGCCCCGGCTGTCCTGTGATTCAGCACAAGCCGATCATCAGGTTTCAGCCAATGATTGATGTCTAGGACCTGCTGATTGGCTCAGTGAATCACAGAACAGTGTCCAGTGTTGGTAAACAATACTAGGCACTGTACACAGAGAAGGATCTTGCTGTGTTTTTTTCTTTCCTGCAAAGCAAGATAGTAAAGATAGTGAAAACAGCTCACAGTTCACACAATAAACATTGCCAGACACACAGTTAACCCCTTGATCGGCCTTATATGTTAACCCCCATCCAGCCAGTGCCATTAGAACAGTGACAGTGTATAGTTTTAGCACTGATCACTGTACTATTGTCACTATTGATGTCAGTATCAGTTAGTGTAAACCCCCCCAGCCAGCATCAGCTAGTGTCAGTTGCTGATCGCTGGCATTAGTATCAGAATACATTTTGGCCTAAATTTATGAAGAAATTGTCAAAGTAGCGCAGGAACGCATAGCAAAATATGTTCTGGTCATGAAGGGGGTAAAATCTTCCAGAGGGCAAGTGGTTAACAATCATTGACATTGGGAAGCTGTCAAAAACGGTAGTAAATTTTCAGGTGTTCGAACTGCTCATCCCTGATGTGTAACTACAAATGTACATTGGAATTTTCATACAGTCTGTCAGTCTATCTTAAGTGTTGTGTGTACATCTGTGTTTGCAGGCCCATCTCAGACAGACTCTACTTCTTTGGAGCAAGAGAAGTACCTCCAGGCCATAGTGACCTCAATGCCTCGCTTTGCAGAAATGAGTGGGCGCAACACCCTCAGTGCATTCCCATCTGCACATCTCTATGGTGAGAGGCTTTAATTGACTGCCAGTGGCTGAAATAACTACATTTAGATTGGATTGCATTCTCGATTTTTGTTTACTGGTTTTTTTTTTGTTTTTTTTGCTTCACTCAGTCTGCTTTGCACATGTCTCTGCTGCATGGCTTACATTGAAAAGCTGGATTTTTAGCTTCACAATTACATGAAGCATGCCGCTGGGTATAGTGTTGTGTCCACAACATGTTGCATTAGTATTGCTATATTGCTAAGTCCTGTGTGGCTTTCCCCATCACAGTAATTGATTGAAACGCTAATAGCCTGTTATGCAGGGCTTTTTTTCAGTGGGAACGTGATGGCACTTCCAGCACTGAATGTATGTAATGGCAAGGGGTGCTGGGGTGTGCTGAGGGTATATTATTGCTGTCTGCTGGAGGGATCTATTGTTGTAGCAGGGTCTATTGTTGCTGGGGGAGGTGTATTGTTGCTGGTGGGGTCTTATGTTGCTGGGAGCAATCTACTGTTGAGAGAGAGGTCTATTGCTGCTGGCTGCCTGAAAGTCTACTGATGCTGGCTGCTGGGAGATCTTTTGTTGCTGCTGAAAGTCTATTGTTGAGGGGATACAAATTACAATACAAATTACTTAGCATCCCAAAAATTAGTTCTATATTTTCTAAAAGGGGCAGTACTGGGAGGTGGGTAAGGGGTGGAACCAAGGGACGGTGGGTGGGGGTGGGAGATAGGGTACCTGCAGAAAAAAAAAGCCCCGCTGGTATGTATTTATTTAAATCTCACTATGCTAAGGCTGCTGGTTCAGTGTATTTCACTAGTATGTAACTCTGCCAGGGTGGGGAGCACAAAGCAGGATTCTTACAGCATAGGAACCTCTTTTAGTGTCTTCCTGTTGGACCATACTACAACTTTGACATTAGGAAACTGCGCTTTCCATCCTTTTTTTTTTTTTTTTTTTTTTTTTATATTCCATTCTATGCTACATCTTGCTCGTCATTGGCTCACTGAATGATAATCGTGTGTGCTGAGTATTCAGTATGTTTGAGTCTATAGACTGATGTGGGCATTTACATATTTAAGTAGAGGGCTGTTTTGATTTTGTTGCTAAAAGAGCTATGAAAACACTATTTTCAAAATGTTTGATTCCTTTCCAGTTTTCTCTGCATTTCTTGACGTTAAATTGGATCTGTTCTCAGTCCTAGCACTAAAGAAATGGAGCTTGAGAAAGTAAAAGGGGCAGCATTGCGTATGAAATTTGCAGTCATATGTAAAAATATGTAAATTGCCCTTTTAATTCATTTGTGATGTTTGAATAAAATCAGTCCTTCTCCTCACTTTCCTGAGCCTTCCTATTGACCACCCTATTGGCTGATCTCCAATTTTACAATAAAAGTCAAGATTTGCATATAATTTCTGTTCCCCATTTCCTCTGGGCCTTCTGGTCATTTTGATGTGCAGCTTTTGCTGTAGGTAGCATCTGCTAATGCATCTTTTCTTAAATGACAGATTTAACCCCTTGTCTACCAGGGTTACATTTATAAACATCCTGGTATGTAAGGAGTTAGAACAAGCTCACAGCTGCTGCAGCTTTGAGCTTGTTATTGATCTTTTTTAGCCAGTGATTGGCCTTCAAGTAAAAGTGATCACTTTTACAGTACTAAGAACTGACCCTGATTTCTGTAACTAACGAACCCCAAAGCAATGTATATTATGCCATTTCCAAGTTCAGAACTGTCATTGCTTGGCTACTGTAGCTGGGGAAGCAACTAATCAAGTAATCAAGCATAATCTGCTCTTAATTAGCTGCAGTGGAGGGCAGGGGAGACATTAGGGGCCCAATAGACTCCTGATGTCCCCATAAAGTGGACCTGTCATCTGCCCATGCTATCACATATGGAGTTTGTTAGCCCCCTCATGATACATCACATAGTGCAAAGCCCCCAAAAAGCGATTTCAATTTTAGGTTATAATGCAAAGAAAACTGGAAAAACACCAAGTGGGGGGGGGGGGGGGGGATTTTTTCAAGGTACTGTAAAACTGTCATATCATCTTATAGTATTCTTTACTGTAGTTAAATCTGTGAGGTCTTTAGGCAGAGAGACATTCAGAGCAGAAGCATCACCCTCTGGCAGGGAAATAATGGGACAAAGAGCTTTCCCAAAGTAGTAAGGTTTCACTGTTCTAGCATATAAAACAAAGATTCCGATTATTATTCACATTGTTCACACTTGTGACTGGTTTCCTCTAATGCTGTTATTGCAGCACGAGTTGATGTTACAAGATATTAAAAGGTGGGAATTAGTTTTTATGAAAACCGCATATTCAAGGTCTTTATATCTTATAAACATTTTTCTTTAACAATTAAATAGAAATGAACAAACATAAGGGATGAGGATATCCTAATTGGTGCTTGTAATTAGTTGAGCTTTGTCCAAGGAAAGTAAGCTGGTGTTTTCTACTGCAGATTCTCCCGACAAACGTCAGCCCAAACTGGGTTCTCTGATGAAGCAGGTGATGGGAGGGAAGGAGGACGTTCGAGGAGGTAGGATTCCAAATTGTTTGGCTGTATGGACATGAATGCATATGATGATTGTCAGGTTATACTTCACAGTGACCCGTGGTGCTTCGGGTTTTCGGAATGTGTTTAGTGCATTTAAAGAATGAATGCTGCATACAGACACCATTCATCTAGAACAGTGGTTCTCAACCTGTGGGTCGCGATCCCTTTGGGGGTCGAAGGACCCTTTCACAGGGATCGCCTAAGACCATCGGAAAACACATTTCTGATGTGTAAAGAACAGCTACAGTGTTGAAAGCAGCTACAGTGTTGAAAGCAGCTACAGTGTAGAAAGCAGCTGCAGTGTAGAAAGCAGCTACTGTGTAGAAAGCAGCAGTATTGAAAGCAAAACGATATTTCATGAATTATAATTACTGGGTAAATCATTTTATGGTTCGGGGTCACCACAACATGAGGAACTGTATTAAAGGGTCGCGGCATTAGGAAGGTTAAGAACCACTGATCTAGAATGATCTCAGGACCTCATTGTCACTTTGTTTTATTCATGTATCTTTCCAACATGCCAGGATAACCTCTCTCCGCTTATTTCACCTCGGTTTTCATATTCAGAGCTTTGTATCCATTTAAACTTTGGCCACATACTTTTCATCGGCTTTTTATGGTATTATTTCAGTCCTGCCTATTATTGTAATTTACTTTAGTAATCTTAGTCTTCATTTTTCTAGTGTTATATAGTGTCTCTTGCTGTAACAATCTTCCTATGCATAAGCTAAGATGACTAAATGGAGACGTGTTCCCCTTTGCCCTTTACAGAGTTTATGCAGGCCATACATGGTTCGAATTCCGAACGATTTTTCATCCGAAAATTGAAAACGTTCGCTCGGTAATCCGATGGTACCATCAACTATTTTGAAAATTGGCCGACCAAGTCATAAAGTTCACCCCATATAACAGGCGAAACTTCTGTTCCTTCCAGGTCATGGCTCATGCTCATATCCGGAAAAATGATCATATGATTTGACCATCATTGAGTCGAAAACGGTTGTTTTTCATGAATTTTCCAACATGTCTGATCACCAAAAAGGGGAGGAACCACGAAAATCGACCGGTGCCATTGACCCACTAACAGAGCTAAAATTGGCCGATTATTCTTAAGGTCAGATTTTCGGATGAAAAATCGGTCGAATTTCGACCCGTGTATGGCCGGCCTTACTGTTGTGTGCCAGTCATATACTGTTTCAGCTGCCCCCCAACCCCCCCCCCCCCCCCCTTTCTTCCCTATACGTTCTTCCTTGACACACATGCCACTTTCTCCTTGAACCAGGTTACTCTGTACGGGGTATTAAGCACCCCGCAGTGAAACGAAGTTACGCTGAGCAAGGTCAGTGCATATGTTGTGTTAATGCCAGAGAAAAAAATGAGTCTTCAATCCCTCCCTTACCTTTCCTTTCCAGCAACAACTGCTCCAAAAAAGCTCAGCTGTTATTGAAAGTCTGACAGTAACACAATCTAATCTGCCTGTTTTATAGTTGGCATCCCCTTATTTCCCTTTTCTAATGTTTGCCAAGCTTGAACTTATTGTACTGACCAGGCGGTTCTACTAATAGGAATGATGGATGATTGCTGAGCCACTGACCTAAATCTCTTCAATATATTATTTTTCGAAACCTTTCCTATACTTGTAGGTAAATGGGGCAGCATGCGTGGCACTGGGAGACTTAGTGCCTATGGTATGAACGCAGATGTAGGAACACGATTGGCTGCTAGAGAGCTTTTGACCCCCCATCAAAATGGAGGACCCTCAGAGAGTGCACTGACCCCACGAAGAGCTGCGCTGTACATCATAGGTGACAAGTCACAACTCAAAGTAAGTCCATAGGAAAGTAAACTCAAAGTAAGTCCATTAATGTTAAGTTGGAACAAGTAGGAATAACCTCTCGTATAAAGGAATCAGAACGTTTAATGTATGTTGAAAGCAAAAGAGAAATGCTAATGCAGTATTGCTTATATGTATATTCCTTTCATTGATATGTGTGTTTCCTGTGCCTCTTGCCTAGGGAGTAAAGCAAGACCCACTTCAGCAGTGGGAACTGGTCCCCATTGAGCTTTTTGATGTGAGGCAAGTGAAGGCCAGTTTTAAAAAATTGATGAAAGCCTGTGTACCTAGTGCCCCCTCCACAGACCCCAGCCTGTCGTATCTGCGCACACTGGAAGACTCCGAATGGCTGTTACAGGTCTGTCTGATGCACACACTCGAGTGCTACTTCTGGCTTTTTTCCAACATTTTCTCCTCTTTAACCACTTCTCGACCGGCCGTTGTATATAAACGGCCCGGACGGTGGCACTGCAGGGTCGGGTGGCCGTCTATAAACGGCCTCCCCGCACCCTGCTTGTGCGCGTTCCCTGGGAGCGCGCAGCACCGCGATCCGGTGCCCGCTGTGTCCCTCCGGACACAGTGAAACACCGATCGTCGGACGGGACCTCTGTACGAGGTCCCGATCATGTGATTACTGATTGGCCAATCAGTGATCACATGCAAAGTAGTAAGCAAGATGTCACTTCTGACATCATTGCTTACTATGTGTGAAATCTGTGAATGATCACAGAGCTCTCACATGGTACAAGGCTATTCACAAAAGCCTTGTACCATCTGACAAGCTGTGACCAATCACAGCTCACTCTGTATTTCTCAATGAGTGCAGGAATGCACACAGAGAGAAAGAGAAATGATTGCTTTTACATCCTATATGGGTGTAAAAGCAATCAGTGTAAAAAAAAAAAAAAAAAAAAATCTTTATCACCCCTCACAAGTAGTAAAGTGTCACCATGGTGACACTGTACTGCTAGGGTGACAGTATGTAAAAAAAAAAAAAAAATAATAATAATAAATATAAAAAAAAATTAAATAAAAATGTAAAAAAAAATGTTTAAAAATTATAATTTTTGCTTATAAACTAATTTGGATTTTTTTTTTTTTTTTTTTACTAAAAAGATAACGGAATAAATTTTGGCTAAGATTTATGATGAAATATTATTTATTTGCAAAATTTTATAAAAAAAAAAACCCTTTTTTTAAAAATTTTTGGACATTTCATTTACATAGCAAAAAAAATACAAATCCCAGTGGTGAATAAATACCACAAAAATAAAGCTTTATCTATCTAAAAAAAATGGTAAAAAAATTCATTTGTGTACAGTGTTGCATGACCGCGCAATTGTCATTCAAAGTGTGATAGCGCTAAAAGCTGAAAATTGCCCTGGTCAGGAAGGGGCTAAAAGTGTCCGGTCTGGAAGTGGTTAAAACATCTGCTGACTTTGCTTCCCTTGTGTTGGGTCCCTTTAACTATTTTAATACAGCAAGGTGTTTTAAATTCTGTAGTTTCTTGTTATTTGATATTCATATATATATATGCTGATTCTTTTCAGATTCACAAGCTCCTGCAGGTCTCTGTGCTGGTTGTGGAGTTACTAGACAGTGGATCTTCTGTTCTGGTTGGATTGGAAGATGGGTGGGATCTCACTACACAGGTACTGGCATTGATCGGGTTCATTGTCCAATTATTCTCTGGTAACAACCTCCATATTCTTATGACATGAAAATATTTGCTGCATTGAATTAAATTTAATAGAGCAGCCTTTTTTTTTTTTTTTTTTTTTTTTTTTTTTTTTTTGGTGTCCCTAGTTCAACTGCTGTCTGACCCATATTACCGGACTATTGAGGGTTTTCGGCTACTCTTGGAGAAAGAATGGCTTTCATTTGGTCACAGATTCAGCCATCGTGGAGCACATACTGCGGCCAGTCAGAGCAATGGTTTCACTCCTGTTTTTCTACAGTTTCTGGACTGTGTGCATCAGGTAAGTGTTAGTTATTTTGTGATTGATTATTTTAAGACAGGTGGGTGAGTTCTTTGGGGTTTGTTGTCCAGATGTAGTCCTCATATTTTTTATATTTCTGCTTCTTTTATGTGGTCCAACATCATTAAATCATGGAAAGTAATCATGCTTGCATTTTGTACAGATCCATTTGCAGTTCCCCTCTGAGTTTGAGTTCAGTCAGTATTATCTGAAGTTTTTGGCATATCACTATGTGTCAAACCGGTTCCGCACCTTCTTGTTGGATTCAGACTGTGAGAGAATAGAGAAAGGTGAGAGCAGTGGCTTGGTCTTTAGGCAGCATCTAGCATTGTCTTGTCTACTTTGTGATATCACACTGTCTTCCTTCCAGGCATTCTCTATGAGGAGAAGGGTGATCGGAGAGGCCCCCAAGTTTGCAGATCAGTATGGGATTATATGGAACGGCTGAATAAGAAAAATCCAGTGTTTTACAACTACATGTTCAGTCCTGAAGATGGAGAAGTAAGGACAAAAGAATACATTTAATTTAGGCATCTCTGAAAATCTATAATATATTTTGTAGACAATGCAGTAGACTGATATGCCATTTTAAGAAATGTTTCATTTCTGTAGGTGCTGCGTCCATACAGCTCAGTATGGGGTCTTCGTGTATGGGATTATTATACTCATGAGGCAATGAGTGAAGGGCCTTCTTATGACTGGGAACTTCTACAAGCACCCCGCCATGAAGAACCTGAAAAAACTGACAGTTCTGCCCCGCAGACCAAACGCAAGATTATTTGGCCTTCCTATCATGCACCGCAGCGTGTTCAGCCTGACGCCATCACATGCTTATTAGAGGTCAGATTATTTAAATGTAGTACCAGAGTGTGAATAATGGTAAAATGGTTTTGTACCTGCTGGAAAACTTGCAGAAAGTTGTGAAGCTACAACATTATTCAAGCACTATTGCCTTGCTCATGACCTGGTTACACTCTATATATTTCACTCAAAATCTTAAGCAGAGTCTTTTTCTTACTTTGCTTGCTTGTCAATATCCATAGGCAGTGGGAGATCTGTAATATGTATGGAAGTCTTAATGCAATATTTTCTGTTCACAGGAGTTGCAGAATCTGGAGATGGATTTGCGGCCTGTACCAGAACGTTGGAAAGAAGCCTGGGATAAGGTCAAAGCTGTCCACAGGACAGAGGTTCGACATGAGAGTCGAGTAAGTATAGCTGTACAAGGCTTTCTTGCTTTTAGTGTCCTTCTCATGCTGTATATTGCAACGTGTTTGGACAGTGTGATGGTTTGTTTACTAATGTCAGTTACTGTGAGCAAGTGAAAGTACATTTGTTAATATAGCATAACTAGTAAGTTTGTTTTTTTTTTTTTTTTCTCCCTCCAACACAGAAATCAAGCGCTCTGCTAATGTCATCAAATGTGTCCTCTCAGCGCCAGTCATTGGGAATATATCTCCAGGAGAGTGGTGTGGGATCTACGCTGAACCTGAGCTTAGAAAGTGGTCCAAGCACTACAAGTACGCCTACCAGTGCAGGGAAAATGGGCGCTCGCAACAGCACTAGCACCTTATACAATCAGTTCAACACTGCAGAGAGAGAAAACAGGTAATTACATTACAGTGTGTACTATAATCCATATTGGGGTAATATGGAGGCTGTGGTATCCTCTATGTATGTAGTAAAATGGGACTCCTTCGGAGATAAAAGAGCAAGGGTGAATTGTTTTGAGTCTGTTATAACACCTAATATAGCCTTGTAATTGTGTAATGTTTGTGCTGGAGGATGTCAGATTAGACACACATCAATTCATTACAAACTTGCAAGGTATTAATGTAATCTTAAGTCGATACCTTTTTTGGCAACTACTAATTTAGTGTAAGATGGGTTTACACATGATTTGCACTATTGTGATGTTTGCAGTATATGCTAGTGAAATTTTTTAACATTTATTAACCCAGTTGATACATTTCTGATATGTTTGTAAACACACCAGCTCACTGTTGCTGACATTGATTAACCACTTCCCAACCATCCTATAGCAGAAATACTGCTACAGGGCGGCACGGGTGCGCAAAATCACGTATATATACATGATTTTGGGTAGGGGGCGCACGCGAGGGCCCTACCCGCACCACCATTTGCGGCCACGGTTGTTAATCAGCGAGTCCCGGTCGGTGATTACTCACCGGCACCCAGTGATTGCCGGGATCTCCGACGGGGAGGAGAACTGTTTGTAAACAGAGCAGTTCTTCTCCCTATCAGTTCGTGCATACCGCTTTGGATGGCTCTGCACAGCACAGCCATGCACAGCAATGTGCTTACAGTGAAGCACACGGACACAGCACATAGTAAAACAGCACACCGTTAACCCTTTGATCGACCCTCATGTTAACCCCTTCCTGCCCAGTGCCATTAGTACAGTGTCAGTTTTTTTTTTTTTCACTGATCACTGTATTGGTGTTACTGGGGATGTCATTGACACCAAATCAGTTCCCTCCAGTGTCAGAATGGCCGCTGCAGTCCTGCTATAAGTCGCTGACCGCCACCATTACTAGTAAAAATGTAAAAAAAAAATCCCAGTATATATACCGCCATTTGTAAACACTATAACTTTCACATAAACTAGTTAATGTACATGTATTGGGATTTTTTTTTTTTTTTTTTTTTTTTTTTTTAGCAAAGACATGTAGCAGAATACTTTTTTGCCTAAATTTATGATGAAACTTGATTTTTTTAAATTTGTTTTTACCTGACATGTTTAATAGCAAAAAGTCAAAAATATTGTTGTTTTTTTTCCTCAAAATTGTTGGTCTTTTTTTTTTTTTTTTCATTACGCAAAAAATAAAAAACTCACAGGTGATCAAATACCACCCGAAAGAAATCTCAATTCGTGGGAAAAAAAGGACGTAAATGTAATTTATCTAAACCCAAGGAAAAAATAAATTATTTATCTTCCGTGCATTGAAGGACTTTGTTCATTAGGGCCACAGCATTCAGTTATTCTATTATGAATGGGTTGTATTCCGCCACCTACTGGTGGACTGTACACTGGCAAACAAAAAGTCCATTGGTCATTCAGGTATACTCCCTTCCACTCCCAACGTGCTTCAATTTGTTGCTAGTATCCTCGGACGGATGTAATTTTTCTATTGAGATAGGTTTACCCCTTTTTCTTACGAGCTATTTAATTTAATTTTATGTATCAATATTTTTTTTCTTTAATCAAGACATCTACATGCCGCGGAGCTCTTTCTCCTAGCTATCTGGATAGGCTAATCCAGGGCATAGTCTTGGAGGCTGTACCCAGACCCCACTGCACAAAAGATTGCAGGGCCTGCCAGGAATGAGACACTAGGGCACTGGGCTCTTAAAATAGCGCTTCCAGGAACTTGTATGCTACTACAATGTATTGAAGCATCCTCAGTGGCCATACTGATTTGGCATGTGGAGAATCCACTATATCTAAATTGGCTGACAGTTTTTAAAGTGACATAATTCCGGGAGTTCCTCTTTTAATGTCTTCATTCAAGTCCAAAAGTTTCACTTGGAATTTACCAAGTCTGTTATAGCCTACCGCCACCAAGCATACTTTCTATCCTTGATGGACATCAACAGTGTATATTTTCTTGCCCCCATCTTTTCAGCAAATTAATGCTATCTCTGTTTTGCAGTGGGAATACCACACTACCAGATTGTAGCCCTGCAATTTGTCCCTATATTCACTCTTTGAGTGTTCATCATGGTTCAGGCCCCTGTGCTGGCCTTACTGTGCTCCCAAGGGTATTCCCATTCCCCTAAAGGGAACAGCAAAGTTCTGATTCTCATGCAGACCCTCTAGAGCAGGATTTTTCAATCAGTGCCCAGGCACCCTGGGTACCTTTGGGGTTTCTCAGGGGTGCCATGGCAAAATTCCTAAAAATTGTCCAAAAATTGTTTAAAAAAAAAAAAAAAGTCAGCTGGTGGACCAAGCCTGCTTTTTAGCAACAGGCTTTTTTTGTGGACCATTACAACCTTCCAGCCGCTGATGTCCTAACAACCAATGACATCATCTGTTGATCAGGAGGACATTGAACGCTTGCACAGCGTCCTTGTTTGCATCTCCCCTGCCCCTTTCTATCAGCACTGGGGTGATATTAGCAGAGTGAAGGAGAGAAACATTAAAATACTAGTCCGTACCAGTGTGCAAAGATGTATTTGCTTTGGAAGAATAAATCACATTGGGTGTCCTACATGTGTGGATGTTGCTGCGTTATGTAAAACTATTAGTTTAGTATAACATTTTAGAATGGGGTGCCTTGAGATTGTGCAGAATTTTAAAGGGTGCCTTGACTGAAAAAAGTTTGAGAAACACTGCTCTAGAAAAAGATTTGGCTGGATTTTGAATCTTCAAAAATCTGTGCTGGAACTGACACATGTTGGAGTTACATGGCTCTAGTCCTAGACCTGACCCAAGCCAGAGCCAGAAAAACATCTGACTCTTTACTTCCAGACTGTCCAACTCTACAAATGTGCATGAGAGTTGATACTTGATGGTAGGGATCTGTAGTTGAACTGAGCACTAGACTTTAAGGCAGTATTCAGTTCCACTACAGATCCTTACACCACTACAATTTGTTGTTCCAGGACAAATCCGTTCATACTTTAGACCAGCCATTCTTAACCAGGGTTTCTCCAGAGATTGCTTTGGGTTCATTGTCTTGTGGCTGATTTGGCCTCCCAACTAATGGTGTTTGGTCGGTTCCAGCACCAGGACATCAATGATTTGTTTAAGCTGTCTGGAAGGGGGGCATTCTGACTACCACTGTAAGGGGAGCTTTTTTTCTACTTGTTGCCAATATAAGGAAGGTTTTTTTCACTGACCCCTGATTTTAGTAGGGTTGCCTGAGACCTGAACATTATTTCAAGGGTTCCTCTTCAGTAAAAGGGTTGAGATAAGCTGCTATAGATAAACCTATTTGACTGACCCCCAAAACCAGGTTATCTCTGGCTTGGTAGTTCAGGAATCCAGCTGCGTTGGGAACACCCTTCCTTAGCATCTTGGGAGATCATCACATCAGACACCAGCATGGAGGCCTGGGGAGGAGTCCTAGACACCTTCAAGTCAACAGTCTGGAGATCTGAGCAATTTGGCTGGCCTTGCAACAATAGACACTTTGTCTACAGGGTCATCCGATCAGGATCCAGTAGAACAAACCTACTGCAGTGGAGTATATCACCCATCAGGGGAGGACTAGAAGTCTTTCTGCAGCAAAAGCGGTGTAAAGGATTCTAGCCTGCACTGAACTCCATGTTCCAGCTTTGTCTGCCATTCATATACCAAGCATGGCAGACACCCTCTGGGCTTTTCTAGATCAACTAGATCTCCTTTCGCAAGGTCCATTTTATCATCTTGCTACAAGATTGCAGTCTTTAATGTCTTTGCATTCCATGCTTTTGAAAGTTTGTGAGTCCACCATTGTACATGGATGGTATACTTTGCTTAGTGGAAGCAAAGGTTTTACCCCAGGGAATCTTGTTTAGATAAAACAGTTGGCCTTGAGTACCATCAGTGGTGAAATCCCAGCTCTTGCAATCTTATTTCAAGACAACTAACCCCCTCATTCATTGGTCAAGACTTTTGTACAAGGTGTTTATCATGTGTCTGCTCTTGTCCAACCTCCTCTGACTCTGTGGGCATTAGAATGCAGTCTTTTGAACCTGAATTTCCTTGTCACCATCACCTCAGCCAGATGTCTCCTTGAGCTGATGGCCTTGTGCTGTACAGAACCCTCTTTAGTCTTGCACAAGGGTAAGGTAGTGAGACTCTCTTTTTACCATTCCTGATGGTTCCTGTAAAGTGAAGCCTTTCATGTTCCACCATTTCTCGGTGGCTCAGAAAGATCATTGTTCAAATTTATAGTCATAAGGACAAAGTTTCACCATTTTCCTCCTCATAGTGCACTCTACCAGATAGTGCATGTTCAAGCCTCATTTAATGCCAGCTTTGGACAAAAGATCCTTCAGACAGCCCTTTGAGCAGCAGGTCGACCCCCAGTTTTATTCTGTTTGTGAACTTCATAGTATTTTGTTTGCTTCATTGCCCAGCACTCAGCTGAACTGTTTATGAATACCCCAGTTGTATCAAAATAATTGAATCCTGTTTTCCTTAATGAACAATAAAGAAAACAGGATTTTTGTAATTACTGTAAAATCAGTTTCTTAAAGTTTGTTGAGGTACACAAGTCCCACCCCTCCGTGTTTGTGATCTACTCCTAAGTGCGTTAGTTCTACAAAACGGAGGCATTCTTGGAGTAAGAGGGGTTATACCTGGCTGGTCAGATTCCTCCTGCAGACAGCTGCATATGACACACTTGTATCAGAATAATGGAATCTTGTGTCTCTTTATGAACTTCAAGAAATGGATTTAAGAGTAAGTACAAAGATCCTATTATTGTAGCCTACCAGTTCTTAGATGTTATGACACCTTGGGACAGGACGTTTATTAGGACAACAGAACACCACTCTTCTCCATGTCAAGGGGGGAGGAAAAAGGGGGGATGGTGGTAACACTAACACACTTCCAATTAGACATGTAATATGACTTGTGCATCCTCATCATGTTTATTGTGTACTGCATAGTCTTTATAAACACACTGTATATGTGGGCGAATAAAATTCAGATTTACATATTTGATATGCCTATGATGACATTTATGAAAGTGGAGCCTATGAAATGAAAATTGAACAAGGCATATCCTTCTGTAGTGTGTACCTGCCTTGATCCAGAGCATTAATTTCTGTCTGATCTTCCATTCCTCTGCTATCTGCGCAGTAACTTCTGAAAGCCAATGCTCACACAAGAAGATGTCCATGCACACAGCAAGTGCTTAACAGCCTTAGCTGTGCATGTTTCCCTATGAGACTGTATTGGGGGTGTCCTTTTCCTCCACGTAGGTCTCAGATTACACATCTCCTTGCTGTATGCTGTGTAGAGTGTGACATCCGTTCCCCACCCCCTGGCCTCTGGAGCTGAGAAATGCTGTCTAAATTCTGTACTTTGAAGGGCTATAGAAGAAGATATAGAGATAGGGCTACAGATAAACAAGTACAACTTGTGTAGGAGGATTTGTTTCATCTCTATGTATCACCTCTGGCTTGTGACTTTAGTGAGTGTATGCAAGATTTGCAACTGCATTAAGTATATAATTAGTCTAAATTTCAAATATTTGGGAACTCAGACGCATGTCCATTTATAGGATACTGTTACCCTTTAGTTGGTTACCGTGCCCCTCCTTTTGTCACCCTTTTCCTTCCTGTCCAGGTCTCCATGTATGTGAAACATTGGGTGGATGTATATTGATTCTGCCACACAATTAGGCAAAAAAACAAGGAAGAGGCAGATTTCTTATAATTGGGTATCTTTATTTATAACTTCCCCAACAGCTGCTCAAATAGCAATGCAACAAAGTAAAACCTTTTGTACCAAAAAGTACAGCGCAACAAAAACAATTGATCTATTCAATCAGTGTAACTTTTACATACATTTTACATATACATTGCTTGTTTTTGTTGCGCTGCACTTTTTGGTACATATATATATATATATATATATATATATATATATATATATATATATATATTGCATGCACTGTTTTTGGTAGCACTGAGTATCTTTCTTTTTTGGTTAACAAAGTAAAACTTCCAAATTGTTTTGAAAGGCATATTTTTTGTTAACTAAAATAAAAAAGATGTTATTTACATGTATTGTGCAGTGATATTGCACAGAGTAGTACCTTACTTCCTCTTCTGGACTCCCGGCGCTTTCCACTCCCCTTCTCCGAGTGCCCCTTCAGCTGGGGGGGGGGGGGGCACCTGTGCGGGCGTGCTCCTAAGCAAGGCTGTGTGCATCCATAGACACACACAGTTTTGCCAAGTCCCCCGCTCCCTCACAGGACATGACTGAGAGCTTCAGGAGCCAATGGCTCCTGCTGCTCCCAGGGCCTCCTGTGAATACAGGGAGAGGGGGCAGCACTGCTGCAGATGGACAGTGCTGGATTGAGATTTATTTTTTATTTATTTCAGGTACTTGTATAGCGCCGTCAATTTACGCAGCGCTTTACATATATATTGTACATTCACATCAGTCCCTAACCCTCAAGGGGCATACAATCTAAAGTCCCTAACTCACATTCATACATATACATATATACATACTAGGGCCAATTTAGACAGGAGCCAATTAACCTACTAGCATGTCTTTGGAATGTGGGAGGAAACCGGAGTACCCGGAGGAAACCCACGCAGTCACAGGGAGAACATGCAAACTCCAGGCAGGTGGTGCCAGGGTTGGGATTCAAACCAGCGACCCTAGTACTGCCAGGCGAAGTGCTAACCATTTAGCCACTGTGCTGCCCTAGAGATAGGAGGTAAGGGTTTGGTTTGGGGGATTACTGGTACTGGACGTTTTTTTTTTTTACCTTATTGCATTGAATGCATTAATATAACAAAAAAAAAAAAAACCCTTTTGCTTTTAGAACCACTTTACTTGCATCTGTTTTAAATGAAAATCTGCCTCATAACACCTGTGGATGTCACCGAGCAGCAATCAAGCATAATAAGCACCAATTAGGCAGCTTTAAAATGACTGTGATACTCAGCTCCTTCTAGACATTTACTGGTGTGGTTACAAACATGGTGAAGGCAAGAGAATGGTCCAGGAAGACAAGAGAAGAGGTGATTTCTCTTCACAGGAAGGGCAATGGCTATAAGAAGATTGCAAAGATGTTAAACATACCAAGAGACACCTTAGGAAGCATCATTCGCAAATTCAAGGCAAAGGGCACTGTTGAAACGCTACCTGGTCGTGGCAGAAAGAAGATGCTGACTTCGACTGCTGTGCGCTACCTGAAGCGTAGAGTGGAGAGAAGTCCCCGTGTGACTGCTGAGGAACTGAGAAAAGATTTGTCAGATGTGGGTACAGAAGTTTCAGCCCAGACAATAAGACGCACACTGCGTAATGAAGGCCTCCGTGCCAGAACTCCCAGGCGTACCCCCTTGCTGTCTCCAAAGAATAAGAAGAGTCGACTGCAGTATGCCAAAAGCCATGTGGACAAACCACAAAAGTTGTGGGATAGTGTTCTGTGGACTGATGAAACAAAATTAGAACTGTTTGGGCCCATGGATCAACGCTATGTTTGGAGGAGGAAGAACAAGGCCTATGATGAAAAGAACACCTTGCCTACTGTGAAGCATGGTGGAGGGTCAATCATGCTTTGGGGCTGTTTTGCTTCTGCAGGTACAGGGAAGCTTCAGCGTGTGCAAGGTACCATGAATTCTCTTCAGTACCAGGAGATATTGGATGGAAACGTGATGCAGTCCGTCACACACCTGAGGCTTGGGAGACGTTGGACCTTTCAACAGGACAATGATCCCAAGCATACCTCCAAGTCCACTAGAGCATGGTTGCAGAGGAAAGGCTGGAACATTTTGGAGTGGCCATCGCAGTCACCAGACTTAAATCCGATTGAGAACCTCTGGTGGGACTTAAAGAAAGCAGTTGCAGTGCGCAAGCCTAAGAATGTGACTGAACTGGAGGCCTTTGCCCATGAAGAATGGGCGAAGATACCCGTAGATCGCTGCAAGACACTTGTGTCAAGCTATGCTTCACGTTTAAAAAGCTGTCATAACTGTAAAAGGATGCTGTACTAAGTACTAAGATTGAATGTCACTTGGGGGTTGAATAAAAAACTGATAATGCTGTGAGCACAGAAAAGACATTTGTGGTTATTTCATTATAACTGTTATGTTATATTTGTCTGACCTACAAGTGCCTCTTTAATGTAAATGTAAGCAAGATGACTGAATGATCAAAAGCAATGTCAAACTGGCCAAAACACTCAATTTCAGTGGGGGTTGAATAATTTTGGCCACAACTGTACATTGAAACTGTTACATAGATTTTGACAGGTGGACTGATTTTGTGACTAAATTTGATGCTGATTTGTTGTATAAATGTCCCCAGTGTGCTGTGCGGTGCTTATGGCTCTGCTTCCTGAGCTTCATGACACATGGCCGTTGTAGAAAATGCTAGTGGTAATATCATAGTTTTTTTTGTCATTTCAGGTCATATGAAGGGACTTTGTATAAGCGAGGAGCTTTTATGAAACCTTGGAAACCACGTTGGTTTGTGTTGGACAAGACAAAACATCAGGTAACAAGAACAGAAAATGGTACCTCTATGCATCCAAGTTTGTTTCATGTGATCTGTACAGATTGGTCCTCTCCATCAGCAGAAGACAGTCCATTTCATCAAAACCAATAACAATAACAATCTTTATATAGCGCCTTTTAACTGTAGTTTCTCAAAGCGCTTTACAAAGAAAACAAGAAATACACACGATAAAACAAAGGGAAAAAAAGGAATTATTAGGTGAAAGCTTTGTCTAAAGAAAACATTTTCTAGATTTGATTTAAATGAGTTTAGAGAAGATGACTCTGATGTTCCTTGGAAGTGAATTCAAGTTTTGGAGCATAGCAGGAGAAGACTCTGTCTCCCCATCAAGTGTAGGTGAGTAGGGGACACACAGAAGACCAGAATTTGAGGAGCGGAGGTGACGAGGGGGAGTAACTAGAAAACCATTCAGACAGATAATGGGGTGTCAAGCCATGAAGAGCCTTATGGGTGAGCAAGAGGATCTTAAAGTCTATGCGAAACCTGACAGGTAGCCAGTGCAAGGACTCCAGGATAGGGGTAAATATGGTCACTTGTACCAGACCAGTAGTAGTTGTCTTCTGCCAACAACCGGGAAAATGTCATTGTTCTTCTATGTTATGGCTCACCAGGGATATTCTGAATACTATATACCTATAAGATAACCACATCATAAAAAGAAAGGCGTAAAGCTTCTCAAGAGACAAAAAGGAGAATCAGTCCTCTAATACAGTACTGCATCAGGGTGTATGACAATTTTTATTCATCCTGTAGACATTGTTAAAGTGGAAGGAATGGCTTAGGCTCAATTAACTCCCCACAATCATTTAAACAATATATGTCTGTCGTTACGGGGTACAATTTTTTTTAAATGTGTTTTTCTAACTTTTTTTCATTATAATGCATTGCAGACACATGACTGCAATGCCTCTGTCTTCATACAGCTAGGGCATCTGGTATGCGTTTCTCTCCTTCCTCCTGTTGCTCCTCTCAGAGCACCCTCATGAATGAGGATACTTGTCACTTGTGCACCCTCATTCATGAAAAAAAGCATATAATAATGTAGATGTGGAATGACATGGGCGCGCGCCGAGCATGTTGGGGGCAGGGCATCTGGGTGCGGGCTGCGCTGTGTTACCTGCACAGACACTGACAATGGTACCAGGAATTACCTGTGAGCAGACACATTTGTTGGTGAAGCACAGGAGAATTTCTGAATTAGACGGTTTCTAATCAGACATTCAGCAATTACAAAAATGCATAATATAACAGTTTTGTAAATTATACATAGAAATAAAGGATATTTTTTCATTTTAACTGGAATGCCAATTTTTTTTGCTTTGTTCAACTAGTGGGCTGAATGAAAATAAACTCGCAGATCCCTTCATCCACACAAGTGATGTGGGTACAGGAATCACCTTGCTGAGCTATTGTATTCTGACAGTGGGGACTCCCCCGTTAGAATACACTGATCAGCGCTGCAGTGGCTGATCAAATGCTGGTTTTCCAACAAGACCGTTCAACAGAAGCTGATCTAACAGTCGGCTTCTGTTGAAGTGAGTGCGGTACACACAAATTGAACTTTAGCCTTTTCATGCTGAACTGGCCAAATGTCGATATGTGTATACCAAGCTTTAGTCCGCGATCAGATATGTGTCCACTGTGGAGATCACCGTGCATTTACATGTGGTATAGGGGAGTTGGGACTCATGGAGTGCACTGTGGTATGTGAGCTGTCATTCTTCCATGTCATTTCAGGGCACAGATGGGGAAGAAGTCTCCCTTTCACCAGAGTTAACATGTAACCATCAGATCCAATAAATAAATAATTTGCGCTAGTAAATATATATAAATATATGTAAAGAAATCATCAAATCATAAATCCAGAAAAATATATATATACCAATACCACAGAAAAATATAAAAAACTTTTTAGGTGCAAAAAAACTTTTGTGCAAAAGGAGTGTCTCAATATAAAAAAAAAAGTCTCAATATAAAAAAATTTCACCAAAAAACCTTGATAATATAATGGCAGATCATCCATAAAAATATCTTCAGAAACGGAAGCTCTCCAACACACCGATCCTCATCGATCGAAATAACAGGACGAAAAAACTTTGTAGTTAATCGAAAATCCACTTCTCCAATAGAAAAAGGACCACCTTCAAACGTATCCATGGGGGGAAATGCCAAGCACTCGAGAGAAACAGAAAGACTTCATGGTGCAATATTATAAAAACCAATTCCTTTATTAGATACTCATTGCACTTACTCAAGAGGTGTCCCAGCCGACACCAGCATCAACAGCAATCACATAAACGAGCCTGACTACTCAGCACATGTGCAATAGCTGGCAGTCAAAAAAACGTAATGACATCACATCAAACAAGCTCCGCCCTACGCGTTTCGTCATCGACGTCCTCACGGAGCGGATGAGGACGTCGATGACGAAACGCGTAGGGCGGAGCTTGATTGATGTGATGTCATTACGTTTTTGACTGCCAGCTATTGCACATGTGCTGAGTAGTCAGGCTCGTTTATGTGATTGCTGTTGATGCTGTTGATGCTGGTGTCGGCTGGGACACCTCTTGAGTAAGTGCAATGAGTATCTAATAAAGGAATTGGTTTTTATAATATTGCACCATGAAGTCTTTCTGTTTTCTCTCGAGTGCTTGGCATTTCCCCCCATGGATACGTTTGAAGGTGGTCCTTTTTCTATTGGAGAAGTGGATTTTCGATTAACTACAAAGTTTTTCGTCCTGTTATTTCGATCGATGAGGATCGGTGTGTTGGAGAGCTTCCGTTTCTGAAGATATTTTTATGGATGATCTGCCATTATATTATCAAGGTTTTTTGGTGAAATTTTTTTATATTGAGACACTTTTTTTTTATATTGAGACACTCCTTTTGCACAAAAGTTTTTTTGCACCTAAAAAGTTTTTTTATATTTTTCTGTGGTATTGGTATATATATATTTTTCTGGATTTATGATTTGATGATTTCTTTACATATATTTATATATATTTACTAGCGCAAATTATTTATTAATTGGTACACTTTATATATGGTGGTTTTTTTGCAGCTGGTACACTATTAGTAAGTTATACAATTTTGACCATAGGCGCTATTATTAATTTTTCTTATCATCAGATCCAATAGTCTGCCATTTTATTGTCCTTTCATTGTGTGTTTCATAGGAGAAAACTTATTATGCTTTTTTTCCTTCTCTTAGCTAAATCATATATATAGAAATATCATTTTGTTGTGCTTCATTTGTACCTCCCTTTCCTCCTATCAGCTGCGCTATTATGAGAGCCGTACAGACACTGAATGTAAAGGGGAGATAGATTTGGCGGAGGTGGAGTCTGTCTATACAGGTACTCCAACCATGGGTGCTCCCAAAAATATGGATGAAAGGTCATTTTTTGATGTAAGTTTAAATGGCAAATTCTCTTAATGCTTTGCAGATTTGATTTCTTCCTTTCAGTTTTACAAATGTTCTAATACATCCACCTTTTCTTTTTCTCTGCAGTTGAAAACAACCCGGCGGGTTTATAATTTCTGTGCCACAGACCCTTTGTTGGCCCAGCAGTGGATTGACAGGATTCAGAGCTGCCTGTCAGATGCGTGAGGCTTCAGTAGTAGTATCCTCCAAAGATGTCAGGATGTCACTGAAGTATTAGTAACTCTGGAGTACCACATGGCAGCTTAAACTGAACTGTTCACCAGTGTCAAGTGGGTGTTTCCAGAGAACACCTTAGCCTCTTTATAATTTTTCAGCAAGATATATGCATCCAGTGAGTTATTGGGGCCTATTGGAAGCCCTTTGAAGTCATCATAGAGGAACATGCAGACTATGGCTTACAGTTCTTCTGAGAAAGAAAAGATTTTCAGACACTGTAACTGGCAAGAAATGATTCAGCCAGAGTATGCAGAGTTGTGCTTAGTATTTCCTGAGGGCAGCTGTCTGAGCAGTGGCCAATTGCCCTTCTAAATTAATAGAGAAAAAAATGTCCGTAGTTGAAGGGCGCTAACGCTTAGGCTTTTTCATTCATGGTCCCCAACGAAAGTGACCTGTAATGTCCTGGAAGCAATTTGCATCTGGTTAGTCTCTTGAATGTTTACCTGTTGCTTATATTTGGTTCAGCAATCTTTTTCAATCTTAACTTATTTTGAAATGTTAAATGGCTAGACAGCAAACCTACAACTCCCATGTAACAGGCCCTGCAGGTAGAAGAGTTCAGCATAAAACACATCTCTGGTTCATTTGAAGTAAAACAATCTGGCGCCATCATTTTCTTTTTTTCACGAAGATCCATTATTTCTTATTAGAAGATGTCATTTGGCTGTAATGGGGCTACACCAAAGGGATGGACATTTGCACAAAGGATTTTTATTGTTCAGTCCTCACACACTGGCCCCAGGAGGGTTGGAGCTTGAACTCTGAAGACTGTGACTTAGGAAACCAGGTGAAAACCACTAAGGATTTTATTACTACTTGTATGTAATAGGATTTTGCTTGCTTATTTCTTCCTGATGTATAGATTGTAAAAAGAAGGGAGGAAATGCTATGTAAAACAGTTTCACAAAATAATATAAATATTCAGAACCTTCTGTTCATGAGCCCCAAGGACTTCTGGACCACGTTGACTGTCACCAGGACTGTGAACTAAGCAGCTAGTTAGCTGTGCACTATGGGAAGATTGCAGCAGGGACATCATCTTGTGTTTACTATGTGTACCACTTGGATTAACAGAAACCATGTTAAACCGTTACTGGTATTTTAACTCTGTGGTTATTGTACTTCATTTAATAATAATTATTATTGTATATTGCTGTATATAGAGGAACGTCCAAAGCAGCATGAAACTGAAGGAGAGGTTGGCTGGGAAGAGAAAACTGAGGTTTTTAACTCTTTCACTGCAAAAATACCATCTTGTACTATTATTTAGCCCCAATTCTTGATTCTCTCTACATTAACGCAACCAATCATGATTCACAAGCCATCTATAAAATCCTGTTTCTACACTGTTTATGTAATACACATATATGTGTATCTGGGCATTATTGAAACTGTTTCCTCAAACAATAGTTATTGCGGGAAGGTAAAGGTCAAGTATAAAAATCACCGTATAGATGTAAGAGGGGATACAATGTGGCTTCAGTACTTCTAAAAAGGACTGTAAATAATTTCTGCATGCCAAAATTATCACTTAAACCCACCTAACTGCTGTCGTCCCCCGTCCCCCCCCTTTTAAAATTAGTGTTGGAAAATATGAAATTCGGTAAGCTAGAGCAGTGACCTGCAAACTACGGCCAGAGGCAGAGGGTCGGATTTGGCCCTTTGCTAGCCTTTATCTGGCACTTGGGGGGCAATATTCCTCCCACTGACACCTACTATGGAGCACTATTCCACTGATACCAATGAAGGTGTACTATTCCTCCCTCTGATACCAATGGTGGGACGCTACTCCCTCCTATTGACAACCAATAGCCATGGCCATGTTTATTCCCATTGATGCTGGGCACAGGATATTTTCTACCACCACTGGCCACAATTCAGTCCCCCCCCACCTAAAGTCTAAAGGACAGTGAACTGGCCCTTTGTTTGGAAATCCCTGATCTAGCGGATGGACTGATTAGTCCAACATATTTATTATTAGGCCATTTTATTAGAGGGAGCTATGCCAAAATAAGGACAGTTGCCTGAGAGTGTAAGGGAATGTTGTAAGCTGTGCAGAAATAGCTTTGTGAATAAACTGAACTTGCTGAAATGTATCTAACTAGAACAAAAACATTCATTTTCAAGTCCAGAGTATACTGTGTGGATGAGAATTTAGTCTGGTCACTGACAAGGAAAAGGCTTTAGAAGGTAATGACCATGAACTGAGGATAAAGTGGCATTCTGAGCATATAAATTACATTTTTTTATGCAATCTGGCAGTAGCATCATCACAGCTAGGCTTGTTTTCCCCCCTGTAACATAGTTGTATAACCTGTTGATCCTGCCATTAAGTCTGTTATCTTTCAGCTTTATTTAACAGACCAAGCTGACCAGCAAAATTAACAGAGGGTTGAGAAAATCCATGTAATACTGCAATACAATTGTCAGCTTTTATTCATTAAGTTAAAACCTTTATCCAAAAAGGAAAAAAAAAAACTGTTGTTGTTACTGCTTAAAATGTCAGCTAGAGCAAGGCTTTTATTTGTTTCCCTTATGAGAAGTGAATCTAAATTGACTAGTGCATATAACATTGCCCTCGTCACAGCTAGGCAGTGCTGCTGTTTAAGGATTGCTTTGTTGCCCCTCCATAGATACAGTGTAGACGTGAGCATAGCTACCCCAAGACAGAAAGTGTGTTACAGGTCGGTCCACCAGGTAAAAAAAGAAACCGATTGCAGCCACTGCATCTAAGGGGTTGGTAAGCTGCAGTGTAGATTTTATTTTGTTTTGTGGATTTAGATACACTTTATATATTGCTGTTTTATCTTTTTTATTGTGAATTATAACTCCAGATATATTATCAACTGGGCATGCTCCAGCAACTGGTATGACTGTTTCTTTTAATATTAATATATTAATATTTTATTAACTTTATACCTTTCATTATTGATAGAACCAATGAGATGTCCAATATAAAAGATCTGTTTATAATCCTAACTCCAATGAAACAGTTAAGTACTTAGCTTGGGTTGTTTTAACTGCAAAAGGGTTTTGCATTTTCTGCATTCATTCCTGTGATTTACCTAGCCTGGAGGAGAAGCAGCAGTCTGATGAGCTCATCTCTCTGTCACTCAGTTCTTTCCTCCAATCAGCATGTCCCATGTTAGTACACAAACAGTGCAGCACCACTGCACTCAGGTTTCCAGGGATTTGCAAAAGGCTAAAACTAGTTTGTTGGGTGTTTTTTTTTTTTTTTTTTTTTTTTTAATATACTTAATGATGTATAATGAACACATGCTTGCACATTTTTTTTAATCTGCATGCAGTTGAGCTTTAATGCTACCAGTACTTAAAAACCATTTCAAGTTTCTAACCTGTGGAAGATCATATTTATTTTCCCTCCTAGAAACCAACTCCACTGAAAAGCATCAATTTGGGCAGGAAGTCGCATGCACAGACATGTCCTACAGCACATTTTTCAAGTACTAACAGTAAGCCCTGGTTCACACTGATGCAATGTGGCACATCGCATGGATCACACAGGAGGCACACCGCATTCCTGTGTAAATCACATGCGATTCTGTGTGGTGCAATTTGAGCTATACATTTTGCATGGCTCAGATCGCACCAAAAGAGCGCAGGAGCCTTTTTTTTTTGTCCACTCCAAAATTGGATCGCATGAGTGTACACACCCATGTGATCTGATTCTTCACATCGCACCGTGTTTTGTGAACGGAGTTCGGGGTATTTGTAACTTAAAATACACAACCGCAGCGGTTCGTATGAACGGGGTGCGATTATGATGCTGTGCAAAAATCGCACAGAATCCTGGTGCCAATTCAGCACTGCATCAGTGTGAACCAGGGCTTAGAGTTGTTGGAGAATTGTCCGAGTTCTGTAGTGCAATACATTCTATTTCATCTCTACTGAAATCAATAACAGTGCTGACCTAACAGTATCATTTTTACAGCAGCCATCATGATTATTTTTAAAATAAATATACCACTGTGCAGAGATTTCTCCTGCATTTCTGGCCCAGGTGATAGTGCCACTGTACACCATAATGCCATCACCATAGTAACATCTCAACAAGGGCATGGATCTCACTGCACACTGGAGGCTCTATCTATCCAAAACATTTACTTTTAAAGCTCGGCTCGAAGCAGATAACTCATTAATCCAGTTTTGCTTTCATTAGAAGGTACTTTTACATGCAGCTGGCATATGTCCTTAAAACATAACTCCAGGAAATTCAGTAATTTTTTAAGATCTGCTGGTTAAGTCCAGTGAGGCGTATGTCACGTCACGTGGACTCTCTCTTGTTGACAATTTACAGTTTTTATAAGCACAGGTAGTACAGCTATTGATACACTCCCAGTTCTCTGCCTGGAGAGATGCTGCTTTCTCACACAGCAGCCGCTCTGACCTACCCTCCACTGTCCATTCACAGAAGGCTTTGTATTTTTGTGAAAGGGTTCATATAATACATAACTTTTCATAACTTGGCAAGACGAGAGGTGGGATGGGCAGATTGGTCGCACACAACTCTGCAGCTGCAGGATCTGAGACCCAAACATCTAATGTTGGAGCGTTGGATAGGTATACTCTTAGCACGCAGTAAAAATGTAAATTGTAAATAAGAGATAAGTCACTGCGGTGGCATATACAGTTCATTGAACTCAACCCATGGAAACTTGGCACATTTTAAACAAGTGACGGAATTCTGGAAATCCTGTAAATCTTTGTTGTTAGTAAATTATGCTTTTTCTGTTATACCTCACTCTAACTGGAAGCGCAAGGACAAAACGTTGAACTTTGCTGCATTGCAAAGAACTGTCATTCGTAGACCGGGAATATATTTACAGGATGGGATCAGCCCACAAGAAGGCTTCTGTTAGGTCACTCTCTGGGGCAGGTCCTGGACCTGTATTGTTTAATTGCAATGCAGTCAGATCACAGTCTTGGCTCTGCTGTGTTCCTACCTTTATTATTAGTTTTCTAATTTTAAAAGGCAGTAACTCCCATATATGTATTCTTTATATTTAGTTGCTTGCCTAGAGTCAAAGTGGTTCTAAAGGCTCGATGTTTTTTACCTTCATGCATTCTATGTATGAAGGTAAAAAACCTGTGTGCAGCAGCTTCCCCAGCCCCCTTAATACTTACCTGAGCCCCATCGAGATCTAGCGATGTGCATGACAGCCTCGGCTGTCCCGTGTCTCAGCCTCCTCATTGGCTGAGCCAGCAAGTGGGAGCCATTGGCTCCCATTTCTGTCAGTCCCAGCCAGTGAGAGGAGAGAGAGGGAGGGGCTAAGCCACAGCTCTGTGTGAATGGACACACGGGGCAGCGGTGCCCCCATAGCAAGCTGCTTGCTGTGGGGGCACCTGACAGAAAAGAGGAGCCAGGAGAGCCAGCAGGGGACCCGAGAAGAGGATCCAGGCTGCTCTGTGCAAAACCACTGCACACAGCAGGTAAGTATAGACATGTTTGTTATTTAAAATAAAAAATTAACCTTTAGAATTGCTATAGGTGTTAATTGAAAATAAGATTTTGCATGCCATTTCACACAGTCATGAGTCTGGCAACAGTCTTGATTTAGGGTTGTTGTACTTTCAAGGGCAGATTAAGGAAGGAGTTTTGGTTGGTCAATATTTTTCTCTTGAGTGGGAAATGAATGCAGATTTTTGGAGGACTGGCTAAATTTAAAGCCCAGTTGAAGTCTTCGTTTGTATTACCGTAATGCAGTCAATCAGCATATATAGTGATAAATATGTTCTTTTCTGCACATTTTATTTCTATACCCAGTGCTAGATGCACGCTGGAGAGCCAGGCCTCTGCTTTCATACATGAGCCGTGGGCTGGGTTTCCAGCAGTGTCACATGTTATCTCCGCAGTGCTCCAATCAGCAATGCTCATGTTCCCTGAGTGGTTTTAGATCTGTGCTGGCCGAAAGAATAGAGATTTATTCACCCACCTGTTTGAGTTCAATTTTTTTCTGTCCCTTAAACACTCAATGACTTACTTTTTCAGATGGTTGAGCACAGTGGAAAAAAAAGGGTCAAGGAGTGTTTTAGAGTTTAGACAAAGTCAAAATAAAAAAAACCTTCATAATTACAAGTAATTTAGAATTTTTTAAAGCCTGTTTAAGGCATTTATTTTTAATCTAAGGTTTTGAAGTCTAGCTTACCCGATTGGGCACATCGTATCTTTGCAGTGAAAGGGTTAACACATTCCTCCACCTCCCTGCGCAGAAGTATGAATCGCTCAGTTAGTGCGGCCATTTTAAGAGATGGATGCTCTTTGTACATAATACAATTCTCAGGCTAAAGCTTCCTGTTTTTGTAGAATACATCGGTTCTTGTACATTGTGTCAAACATACAGTCTTTGGTTTGTGCCTAGATATATGAAAACAGGAATATACCCAGAGAAATAAACTAACAAATGTTTAAAATACTTGTAGTGCATTTTCTACTGTTATAATTGATTAAAATAAATCATTTTTGCTCAAAATGTAAAATACAGTACCTTGCAACCATACCAAGACTTCGTATTACTGAGAAACAAACATTGTAATGAAAAATGTTCAGATTTGTTTTCTTTTTCTAAGAACTAGTAAGTATGTGAATTTCATTTTGTTTCAGATTAGAGGGAAAAAAACTGAAATATTGTGTTTGCATCAGTATGTGAGCATGGAATCGCCATAGTTTGGCAGGATATTGGTACAGTTAAAGCAGAATTAAACCCAAAACCAAAAATGTAATCTATTGCAGCTTACCAATCATTCGATGTGGTGGCTGCATTTGTTTTTCTTTTTTTAGTTTTCTTTTTTTCCATGGTGATCTGGCTAATAACACACCTCCTATATTATATAGACACCACTCTGCATGAACACAGGGGGCAGATTTGGACAGCAGCATTGTCAGTCTTGGGGGAGGGGAGAGTTAGTGTATTTAACCACTTCAACTCCGGACACTTTTACCCCCTTCCTGACCAGGCCAATTTTCAGCTTTCAGCGCTATCCCACTTTGAATGACAATTGCACGGTCATGCAACACTGTATCCTTATGAATTTTTTAGCGTTTTTTTGAGACAGATAAAACTTTATTTTGGTGGTATTTAATCACCACTGGGATTTTTATTTTTTTTGCTATATAAATTAAAATGTCCAAAAAGTTTGAAAAAAAAGTGTTTTTCTTATAAAAATTTTGCAAATCTTTCTTCATAAATCTTGGCCAAAATGAATTCAGTTATCTTTTTAGTAAAAAAAAAAACAAAAAATAACCCAAATTAGTTTATAACCTAAAATTATTTTTCTAATTTTTTTACATTTATATTTTATTTTTTTATATTATTTATGGGTTTTTTTTTAACATATCGTCACCCTAGCAGTACAGTATTACCATAGTGACACTGTACTACTTGTGAGGGGTGATGAAGATTTTTTTTTTTTTCTTTTTTACACTGATTGCTTTTACACCCACAAAGGCTGTAAAAGCAATCATTTCTCCTTCTCTCTGACTGCATCTTTGCAGCCATTGAGAAATACTGTGAGAGCTGTGATTGGTCACAGCTTGTAACATGGTACAAGGCTGCTGTGAATGGTCTTGTACCATGTGACCTTTGAACATTCACAGATTTCACACGTAGTAAGCAATGATGTCAGGAAGTGACATCTTGCTTATTACTATTCATGTGATCACTGATTGGCCAGTCAGTGATCACATGATCGGGACCTCACACAGAGGTCCCATACAGCGATCGGTGTTCTCTGGACACAGCGGGCACCAGATCGTGGTGTCGCGCGCTCTCAGGGAGCACGCACAGGCAGTGAATGTCAGGAAGTGACATCTTGCTTATTACTATTCATGTGATCACTGATTGGCCAGTCAGTGATTAGATGATCGGGACCTCACACAGAGGTCCCATACAGCGATCGGTGTTCTCTGGACACAGCGGGCACCAGATCGCGGTGTTGCGCGCTCTCAGGGAGCGCGCACAGGCAGTGAATGCGGAGGCCGTTTATGAACAGCAACCCGCTCCTGCACTGCTCCCTTCCGGCCGTTTATGTACATGGGCCGGACGGGAAGTGGTTAAATCAGCTAGCACATTGAAGCTGAGCTCTAGCTAATACTTTATCATCCTTACAGCAAACAGTGTGTTTTACATAAATAAAAGTTGATTTTAAGCACCCCTGTCAGTGTTACATTTTCTGTTTTATCCCTGTAACTGCAATAGAGTTTTGGCTTGGAAAACAACAAACTTACTGGCTGGATCACCGGATGAAAATAGGCCTAAAAAAGAAAACTAATGCAGCCATCACATCTAAGAACTGGTAAGCTGCAATATAATAAGTGTTTGGTTTTAGGGTTAATACCACTTTGAGATGGTCACTGAGAGTAGAGGTTAGCAGGCATGACCGTGCTGCCAGATACCTGAACAGGCCTAATACCACCATCTGTGTTTAACCTAAGCAAAGAGGTAGTCCTCTACAGTACTTACCATATGGGAAAAGATTTCCAAAATTCCAATGGTGCTGATCAGCAACAACCTGTTCATGGAAGACAATCATCTAATGCCAATGTTCACTACATCAATATGTTTCCTTTTTGTATGATTAGAGCAAAGGAAGACTGTGTTATGAATAGTCACCAGAGATGATAAAGGACACTATGCCAAACCTATAAAAGTAAGATATATCCAGTATATATTGTACCACCACAGACTGAGGAAACATTGATCTTCCCATTATTCACATACAATGCAAGAAACCCAGCTTCTAGCTCTTTAACGCTTTGTTAGGACAGTGTTTAAATCTAGTTTACAACTGATAATTAGTTCTGTCAGCACAGACAGGGTTAATTATGGTAAACACTGAAAGAAAACTTAGGCAGGATTTTTCTGTCTTGGAGCTTTCAGAAAAGAGCATTCAAATGGCAGGCAGCAATTTTAAAAGTGTTACTAAACCCACAACAGTAAATTCAGTCTATATATGCAGTAAAGCATGCTTGTTATACTCACTGTGGAACCAAAGGGGTTAAAAAGGATGTTTAATCCTGACTTCTCTGATCCTCCTCTTCTACTGTCCCCAATCCATCTGCTGATAAAACAGAGCCTTGGGGCATGCTGCACATGCTCAGTTTGGTGTGTATTGCTGGTTTTTGGGGGGGGGGGGTTTCCCTTGGGAGAGTGCATGTGATCAGCACTATCCATACAGAGGGTCAGGGGTCCTTCAGCCTCAAAGGCAATCAGGAGAATGAAAACTCCTCCTACAAGCTTTAACCAGTGCTCTACTGGACACAAATAGAATAGAAAATGAAGAGCAGGAAGTCGGCTGCTATAGCTGCTTGTGTATGCCACCCACCAGGATTATGGAGGACCTGCAATCATTCAGTAGAGTGGCCTGCACCCAAAAGAAGCTGTAGGGATTGCCATATTTATGATGTGTGTTCAGGGATGTGGCTTCCTTTTTTAGGAATCCTTTCCTTCCTAACACACAGACACAGAGAGAGGAGCCCTTAGCCAAATGGATTATATCTAGTAGTATCCATACAGGGGTTAAGGGTGCTGCTAGGGGCTGGGTTCTGGGAGGATATCCATGGACGTCCTCTCAGAACTAGACAACTGTGCTGTAGCCATCTTTCAGCTATAGCATGGTTGGGAAGCGGTTAAATAAAACAAACAAAAAAAAAAATATTGCTCACAAAGTTCTTGTCCTTCTACCACCCCCTCAAAATGCTCACCTTTTTAAAAAAAAAAAAAAAAAAAATTATATATATATATCTGTTTGAATGCTCTTTTAGCCCAGAGTCTTCTCAGTCTTCACTGCTGGCATGAGATGGACAATTTGTAGTGGATGAAGCGCTCAGCCATGAGGGTAACAAACCAATTAAGCTAAATAAATTCATAATAAATAAATAAAATAAATATATATATATATATATAAGTGACCAGTGCTCCAAATAAATGTGCATATAAAAATTAATAAATATATAAAAAATTCAATACATAAATAATAAAGTGAAGGTGACTGGTGCTTCAAATCAATTGTGTAAAACAAACGACCAGTTTGCCACCCAGTGGCTTAAAACTGGTACTAAATATACACACACCAAGTGTCAAAAAAGTGACAAGTGCCCAGAAGACTATATATATATATATATATATATATATATATATATATATATATATATATATATATAATCCACACTTAATCATGTATATTAAATATATAAAAAAAAAATGTGAATACATCCAAAAGTGAACAATCACTACCTAAAAGTGACAAGTGAAAAAAAGAATAAAAAATATAAGTCCACACTAAAGTGCAACAATCGTGCTATCACTCTTATAATGTGAAGCTGAATAAATGCTTTTCCACTTCAAAATCTTGTGCTCAAAAAAACAAGGAGTGACACTCTCGTGCATATATCCTCCAGTGGCTTTAGTGCCTCCTCACCTCCTTTATTCGACCCCTAGGGGCCACAACTCATGTAATCCAATATTCCACCCCGATTCACTTCCGATACTATAGATGTTTTCACAGCATCTTATCTATCCTTCTGATATCCACTCCAAAATGTATTGGGCATAGAGAGACTCGGCATAATAGTACCAGGGTCATAGAGGAGTAAGCAAAAAGAATACTTCCATAGTGTAGTATGTCCAATATGTTTAATCAGACAAAATGCCAAAGAAAAACACTCACATAGTCCAAATGTACAGCCCGCGGACTCAAGATGGCGAAAAAACCCGGAAGTCCGTCACCGAGCTCCACCCGAAAATGACGTCACTGCGCTCTACGCGTTGCGCCCCGAACACGTGGCTTGTTCAGGTTCAAACAAGGAGTTCGAGGGCCCTGCTCCTTGGAGATTACAATCTAGGAGGGAGGGGAGAGTGGTACAGGAGGAAATAGCTGTGGGGGATGGAGTGGTGGGCCATCCTCCAAGAGCGGAGATCAGCAGTTAGGTGAGGGCGGGGTAGGCGTCTCTGAAGAGATGGGTTTTCAGGGTGTGCCCAAAGGTGAGGGAAGGTGACAGTTTGATGGATTGGGGCAGTGAGTTCCAGAGGATGGGAGAAGTCCTGGAGATGGGCATGGGAGGAGGAGACCAGGGAACTGGAGAGTAGGAGGTCTTGTGAGGAGCGGAGAGTGCATTTTGAGTGGTAGAGGGATATCAGGTCAGTGATATAGTTTGGGGCAGTAATATTTTGAAATTTATGCGTTGGGCAATCGGAAGCCAGTGGAGGGATTGGCAGAGGGGGGTGGCGGATACAGAGCGGTTGGTAAGGTGGGTGAGTCTGGCCGCAGAATTCAGGATAGACTGAAGCGGGGATAGCTTGTGTTGGGGTATGCTGGTGAGGAGGGCGTTACAGTAGTCAAGTCGGGAGATAAGGGAGTGGATGAGTTGCTTTGTAGTTTCAGGAGTTAGGAACGTGCGTATTTTGGAGATGTTGCGGAGGTGGAGTCTGCATGAATTTGTCAGCGATTGGATCTGGGGCTGAAAAGAGATTGGAGTCCAGAATGACACCTAGTACTCTGGCTTGCGGGGTGGGGCTGATGGTGGCGTTGTTGGTCGTGATGGAGAGGTTGGGGGGGGGGGGGACGCGGGCTGGGGGGAGAACTAGGTGCTCGGTTTTGCCAAGGCTTAATTTGAGGAAGTGGAGTGACAGCCAGTCTATGTTGTTCAGAAGGCTAGTGATTCGGGCGGAGACTGAAGGAGTGAGGCAAGGGGTAGCCATGAATAAAGAATGGCACAAAAACATTCTCCGAGAGCAACTTCTCCCAACCATCCAAGAACAGTTTGGTGAAGAACAATGCCTTTCCAGCATGATGGAGCACCTTGCCACAAGGCAAAAGTTATAACTAAGTGGCTAGGGAACAAAACATCAAAATTTTGAGTCCATGGCCAGGAAACCTCCCAGGAAACTCGCATTGAGAACTTGTGGTCAATCCTCAAGAGGCAAATGAACAACCCCCCCCCCCCCCCCCCCCCCCCCCCCCCCCCCACTCTCAGCATTGATTATGCAAGAATAGGCTGCCATCAGTCAGGATGTGGCCCAGAAGCTGATTGACAGCATGTCAGGGCGAATTGCAGAGTTCTTGAAAAAGTAGGGTCAACACTGCAAATATTGACTCTTTACATAAACTTAAATTGTCAATAGTAGCCTTTGACACTTATGAAATGCTTGTAATTATACTTCAGTATATCATAGTAACATCTGGCAAAAAGATCTAAAAACACTGAAGCAGCAGACTTTGTGACAATTTATATTTGTGTCATTCTCAAAACTTTTGGCCAAGGCTGTGCTTGTCTTAATTAAAAGCCTTAAGTGTAATTCCTGGCTACTGCTTATTATTATTATTATTACATTGAGTTTATATAGCGCCAAAGGGTTTGCTCAGCGCTGTACAATAGAGGGGGGGGGGGGGGGGGGGGGGGGGGGGGGGGGTAGGGGGGGGGACAATACATGAAACAGTACAAAACAACAACAAACAGTACACGAGGGTTAGAAGGCCCTACTCTTTCGAGCTTACAATCTAGGAGGGAGGGGGTAGTGGTACAGGAGGAAGTGGCTTGGGGGATGGAGTGGTAGGAGGAATGAAGGAGGATGGCTGTTAGGTAAGGGTGGGGTAGGCCTGAAGAGATGGGTTTTCAGGGAGCGCCTGAAGGTGAGGAGGAAGGTGACAAACTGATGGATGGGGAGGGCGGTAGTGAGTTCCAGAGGATGGGGGAGGACCTGGAGAAGTCTTGCAGTCGTGCGGGGAGGAGGAGACCAGTGAGCAAGACAGAAGAAGGAGGTCCTGTGAGGAGTGAAGGGTACGGGTAGGGTGGTACTTGGGAACATCAGGTTGGTGAGGTAGGTAGCGATGGGCAGTCAGTTTGTGTGAATGGCTTTGTAAAATCAGAGTTAGAAGTTTGAATATGATGCGTTGAGCAACCGGTAATCGCCAGTGGAGGGATAGGCAGAGGGGGGGTGGCAGAGGTGGAGAGCGGGGATGGTCTGAAGCGGGGAGAGCCTGTGCTGGGGCAGGCAGGTGAGAAGGGAGTTGCAGTAGTCAAGGGCGCGAAACAATCAGGGAGTGCACGA